AAAATGATTAGAAAGACAAAAGTAATGTAGCTAATTCAAAAGAGCCATTTAGCTTGTTTGTTGTTGTTGAATAGTGTATATTAGTTATTTTGGTTCAGATTGCTTTCTTGGGATTTTATACTTATGAGAAATTTGTTAGTACAGTTGTAATTACTGTGCCAGAAGTTTCTGATACACATTTCGAGCAGATTTTATTTTTATGGTGTAAAATGCTATGTTAGTTCACTGTAGTGTTTGTGTTCCACTCTTAGACTTTGTATTTTACACAACAGGTTTTTACAAATACAATTAAGACCTGCCTGTAGAAGTGGGTCATTTTGAATGTAGTTTCCGAGAATTTTAGATAAATGAGGTCGCTTTTATATAAATAAAAATGTTCTGAAGATATTTTATACATTGCCCATTTTTAATGTAGTTGCCTTTCGTCCAGCTCTCCACGTATCCTTAGGCCGCTGTGCAGTGGGTGCCTGCCTTGGTCCTTGGGCTTTCTCCTCCCTCTGGGTGCCTTTGCTCCGTGCTGCTGATTTGCATCACTGAGCCAGCGGGCCAGGAAGTGGAAAAGCGTTGAAACACACCGCAGTTCACTCTCCATCCCTTCTCCAAAGGTTGCATGGGACCTCTATGCTTAAAGAACATGAAGTTTAGAATTTAAAATTGGTTCTGCGCTACCTGTGGCTTTCCTCGACTCACCTCTTCAGAGTGAAGCGAACATTTCATGACTGTATCTTAACTCTGCCGAGCAAGAGACACATTACCCTTTCAAGCTTCTTGCCGTGCTACACAGCAAGGCAGAATTTTTACTTAGCAGCCTCGTGTTTCAAGCAAGCTGTAGAATTTAAGGAGAAAAACCTCAGTTGTTTTCACTCACAGTAACTTGGGTCTCTTCATATGAGTGGCCTAATGCTCTCTGAAAGGAAATGTTGATATTGAAAATATACATCATGTTTTGTTGGTAAGGGTGATGTTTATTTAGCAAGTCTTTTTTTTTTTTTTTGGTCTTTTTGAGACAGGGTTTCACTCTGCGGTTCAGGCTGGCCTTGAACTCACTTTGTAGCCCAGGTTAGTCTCAAACTCACAGTGATCCTCCTGCCTCAGCCTCCTCAGTGATGGGATTACAGGTGTGTGCCACCATGCCCAGCCTAGCAAGTCATTTATCGAATGACTGCTTTGTGCCACGTTTACCTGATATTTAGTATGAGAGAGAATTAGTGTTAAATCAGTCTTTGTGTCTTGAATTTGTAATACAACCAGGGAGACAGGAATGTTGTATATAGTCACAGTATAATGTGGTACATGTTATAATTTTACTATGAGCGAGAGTGTGTGAAGCTCTTTACAGAAGAGAGAATATTCAAGTTTGCCTCATGTATTCAAAGGCTATGCAAAAGAGGTAGTGAACCTGGCCATGCAAAATGTATATGTAGTTGATAAAGTGTAGAAACAAAATTGCAGCTATACATAGTACACAGGAAGGTAGGCAGACACTGGGACACACTGTGGACAACATTTGTAATATATTACCATTAATGTAAAAAGGGAAACAAGCTCTGTAAACATACCTGTTTTTGTGAATGTAAAATATTTCTGAAAGCACTCAATCTGGCCATGTTGGTTGCCTTCTCAGGCAAAGGAAGCCAGTGGCTGAAGGACCAGGGGGTGTGGGAGAGCTCCTTTCTTTTGAACCTTGAATTTTAAAATACAGAAGAATAGGGCCAGGGATATAGCTCAGCGGCACAAGCGCCTGCCTGGCAAGCACAAGGTCCTGAGTTAGATTCCTGACACAAACAAAACAAAACAAAACAAAAAAAACTTTAAAACGTAGCATGTGTAAGTTATAAAAGAGATACAATAGATGTTAAAGGGTCTCTCTCTCTCAAGCCTTTAATATGTCCACATACAATGAGAAAACACAGAAGGTGAATGTTTTAGGAAGGTTTCTCTTGAGAGCAACTGGGCTTGGGAGTGTAGCAGGGAGAGTCTGTCCAGGGGAGACTGAAGTCCCTAGGACTATTCTAGGGGAAGTGTAAACAGAGCTCTTCATAAGAACAGTGAAACTCTTTGCATTTGTATAGATCAAAAAAATTTTTTTCCTTTGGTTCATTGTGGAAATTGAACTTTTTACAGTTTGAATTCGCAATTACAGGTATAAAAATTTTAGTTTCGTAAATCATTTTTCTAGTTCTTGAAATTTGCTAGAGTTTTGTGTGTTTTGAAAGGGTTAGAGATGAGTCAAAGAAAGACAGGCAGCAAGAACAAGATCATAAAGAGAGCATCTAAGCGTAAAGGTAACTGAGCCTTGAGATCACTTTGGGGCGGGGGGCTTGCTCTTTAAGTAACCTGTGTAAGATAACCGGTTTAAGTTGGAGTCTTGCTACTGTAGAGTGCCAGGAAACAGGAAGAAAAGGAAGAGCTGGGGACATGAATATACCCTTCCTTCCAGGTCATGTCTTGCTACTGTAGAGTGCCAGGAAACAGGAAGAAAAGGAAGAGCTGGGGACATGAATATACCCTTCCTTCCAGGTCATGTCCTCAGCGGCCACCTCCGCTGACCACGCTTCCAGCAGCACACTCAGGCAAAGCAAAGCTTGTTTCTGTGGTCGGCTTGTGTTTGTGTTTATGCTGTAGTTCACACAGATTTTTATTTGTTTTCTTTTAGGTTTTATAAGGATATACGCAGCTGATGTAGAACTATGCCCAGCTACCTTTTGGGTTTTGTAAGGAAATACGCAGCTGATGTGAAAATGTTTTTTTTTGTAGAACGCTATTGGTGTTTTCATTGTAGTTCCTATGGGAACTTATTTCTGATATTCTTCTTTAGACTTTGCACATGAAAAATCAGTCTGTGTTAAAGATTTTGATGCTTTTTTATAAACATTGAATAAATACTAAAAACTCAATACTTTATTTTTGTGATTTTTTTCCCATGAAGTACTCACTGTTTAATAAAACTCATAAAATTCAAATTAGTAATTCATCAATGGAAGTATCGAGCCTTGATGACAAAATTAGTCTTGTGCTCCAGAGGGCTACAGTATGAATGTCAGGTATTGTATACAGCAGTGGGAAAGCTGACTGATGTGGTATTTGACCTTGTTTTTGTGAAAGTGCTCAGTTTCTGGTTTGAGAAAGTGCTTAGAGTTCTTAGTGAGTTTGCAAAGTGCTCAACAAAAATTTTTGGTCTAATTTAACTCTTTGTACGCTTCATTTCTGAAAATAGTTGTTCACAAATGTATATACTGCCAAACAGCAGTGACGCGAGTGGGGGTAGTTGTGTGGTGAGGCATATTTTCCTCTGGAAGATCAGTCTTATAGAAGTCTAGTAAAGAGATGTGATCAAATTTTTCTGGAATGTCTGATGGCAACTCTGTACATGGCATTTGAAAATTTAGAAGTGGCTATTTATGTTGGCTGAAGATGGAGCTGCAGTTGTACGTACATGCGTTCAGGGAGGTTGAAATGCTATTGTTGGTAGTTGCTGTGTTTTACCAGCGAAGTCACATAAGTACATGTCATGTCTGACAGCTTTGGATTTCCATTCCACTGGCCGTGGCAGGTGCCAGAGCCACGGCTAGCCCTGTACCGCTGAATTCATGGAAAATGCCACTAACAGTGAAATAATTGGGGCTGCAGTGAGAGCTGTCTAGGACCGCAGGTGGCCCTGAGCTGCGGGCTGAACACACCAGTCTTCAGCAGTCAACACAGCCTCGATAGATGTTGCCATGGCGCCACTGGCGCAGATTGTGGTGGCTTTCTCAGGGCAACGTTCAGTAATGTACATGGGTGATCATAATTGCTCTTCTGAACAGTGTGGCCTTTCTGTACTCATTAACAACGTCTACAGTTTCTTTGTTTTTTTGAGACAGGATCTCACTATGCAGTTCAGGCTGGCCTTGAACTCACTTTGTAGCCCAGGCTGGCCTCACACTCCGAGTGACCCTCCTGCCTCAGCCTTCTGAGTATTGGGATTCCAGGCATGTGCCACCCCGCCTGGCTCATTTACAGTTTTTGAAAGCATACAGTAGTTAAAACTTTTCATTAAGCACATACTACATGTATAAACAGTGCTAGATCATTAAAATCTATTGATACCTACTTAATTCTGTTGTCCAGTGTAATTGTTTTATTTTCAGTTGTTTCTATCCTTTTAAAAAAGAAGCAAAGAGTTTATGCTTTACCACCTCTTATAAATGTCCACCCTTTTACATGTGTGCACCACTACACTTGGCGTTTGGAGATGATGTTAAGACCTAATATATAGTAAATGGAAAGACTTCATATGAATAACTAGCTTTTTCTGTGTACAGTAATAGGCACTGTGGAGTAGTTTAAGGGTGCTATAACCAGGCCCCTGGTGCATGAGAACTGAAACATGCTAATGCACTGGAACATTCACAGTGGGAAGAGTACATGTATCTTCACCAAGACATGTCTGTGAAGCCCAGATTAATTTATTCAGCACATTGTAGATCAAAGAATACTAAGTTGGGAGGTCAGAAAGCTGCTTTGTCAGGCAAACTTACTTTCCTTTAAAGATGTACCAGCTGGAATATATAGCTGGGCCTGAGTAAAAGAAGAGATATTGCAAAACAGCCTAATATGGCAGAAGATAATTGATTTGCAAATGGAAAACTTTTTCTCATTTTTAGTATAGTTGATACTGATTCTAAACTAAATGCATTTCCAATTATGTTAGCGTGTGTTTTGCTGACATACACCTAGTGCTTTTCTGCCATTGTCAGGGACTGTTTTAACTAATTTTTGTTGCTTAGAATTTTAGGTGGTCCTATTTTATGCTTTTCTGAAGACTACCTGGTTCAAAATTTACAAAGTTCAAGAGTAAGTCTCTATGTGAATAAACTGCATTAAGTGGTTTTATCATTAGCAGTATTTTTATATTACACTGTTTCAGAGTTATAAAATTTAGAATTACATACAATGTGGCTGGATTGTATTATCAAAAGTGATGAAAGTGAACCTTGCTTTATTTATTTTTGCTATAGAAAATAGAACTTCCAAATAAACTGGCAAAACGCTATCCAGCCTATGAGTTATACCTTTATGGAGAAGGATCCTATGCTGAAGAACACAAAGCTCTCCCTTTGACAGGAATTCCAGTTCTCTTCCTTCCTGGTAATGCTGGAAGTTACAAGCAAGGTCAGTACCAGAAGTCAGTTTGAAATCTGTGAGATTCTGTTAAGAAGTACTGACAGTACTGTTTCAGGCGTACTGGAGATCAAGAGACAGGATGCTTTCCCTGAGAGAAAGTACATTTGAGAAATACAAAGAGAAGAAGAGCTGCAGAATGAGAAGGAGAAAAAGAGAAAGATGGAGTGGGGCAGGATAAACAGATCACACCTGTGTTCGGGAATCGACCGAAGAAAGAGGTTTGGGTTAGAAGAGTGTGCAGAGGATAGAACCTGGAGCACTGATTCGAGAGAGAAATTAGTGGCTTATATTATGCTGAACAAAAGAGGACAGTTTTTTTCCTTTGCAGCTGTTTAAGGATCTGGAAGCTCAGAAGGGATCACAAATATGAAGGTAGGAAAGTTGCATGTGCAGATTCCAGATTCATTGTTGGCTTAGAGAAGACCAGCAGTTGTTCTGGGCATAACAGCAAAGTATATGACTCTGCAAGTAATTTTCCTTTCAACTGAAATGTTTTTTTTTTTAAATAAAATTTGTTTCTTCTAAATGATTAGAATGGTTACATGATGAGACTAGAACTTTCAACAGGTACTATATTTGCGGATGTGTTTATTCATCTAGCAGATACTTATGGCTGCCAGGTGTGAGCCAGGTACTATTGAAGGTACCAGAGCAGTGGTGGCGAACTTTTAGAGATGGAGTGCCACAACTGCAAGCCAGAACCCACTTATTTGTCACGAAGTGCCAAGGCTGTGATTAAACCCGCATGCTGGGCAGCTGAGGCGATGCTGCGGCGGCTTGGCTCACGCCAGCAGAAGGCTCTGTGTGTCCTTGGGTCACACCTGCCATGGGGTTGCCACCACTGTACCAGAGCTTACAGTCACCTGAGAAGTGTGTCAGTAATGGTATACCTAGAAAGAAAAATTAGAGGAGATAGAGGAGAAACAAGGCCAGAAGAGGCCTGGTTTAGATGAGGTGGTCAGTGAAGACCATCGTGAGAATTTGAGCAGAGGCTTGTAAGTAGCAAGAAATTGCATGCCCCTGTTTTCATGGAGGTCCTGAGGCAAGAAGATGCTGCATGCCTTCAGGACCTCTATAGCTAGGAAAGAGCGAAGAGAAGAAAGTGGCAAAGCAGCCCTAGGCTGTGTCGTACAATCTTGGGAAAACACTGTGAGCGTTCGTGTAAGTGAGATGGGAAAGCTGGAGGGCTTTGGGTGAGAAATGGTACAGTCTCTAAACCAGGTGGAAAGACCTTTCTTAAAATGCTCAGTAAGTATGATGAAATTCCTATTTCTTATTCAAAGTATCCTTCCCCTCCTAGCTACTGCAGCTCCCACTGAAGGAAAGCAAGTAGAGAATGAGCAGCACATCATTTTTTATTTACTTATTTTAAAACATGTAGGGCACATTTAACTATGTTCAAGGCATATAGCTGCGAGGTTAGTGTGTTCTTCTAAGTTAGTACTATTAATGAGTGTTGCCCTCAAGTAAGTTTACTTCCATATTGAAGTTTACTTACGAAGAGATTTTGGAGCAAGAATGGATGCAGTCTCAGAATATTTCATTTGCTCTGCACTTCTTCCCCTGCAGTTCGTTCTATCGGCTCCATCGCCCTCAGGAAAGCGGAAGACATTGACTTCAAGTACCACTTCGACTTCTTCAGTGTGAACTTCAACGAAGAGCTGGTGGCACTGTACGGTGGGAGCCTTCAGAAGCAGACCAAGTTTGTGCACGAGTGCATCAAGGCCATCCTTAAACTTTACAAGGTAAGAGGTCAGTGTAGCACAACCTAGTAGCTTCTTTTTATTAGGAAACGCACTATAGTTTTAAAAACGTATTTGTTTATATGAATATTAAGGAACTCACTATGTTTTAAATAATGCATTTATATGAAAAGTAGAAGAAAGAAGGGACAGTTTGGCTTTTTTGAGTCTATTGCCTTGACCTCAGTGGAACTTTTCAAGCTTAAATTGGATTTATAAGAAACCTTTCTTGGGCTGGGGATTTAGCTCAGTGGCACAGCGCCTGCCTGGCAAGTGCAAGGTTGTGAGTTTGATTCCTGGTACCGGAAAAAAAAAAAAAAAAAAAAAAAAAAAAGAAACCTTTCTTATAAATTCAAGAAAAAATTGTTTTACTTTTCTTCATAAATTAGAAGTGGGATGCATTTCCTAATGCATGCTCTAGCTGTGTGTAAAGGTGCCTGTCTCTAGCTGTGTGTGACGGAGTCGTGGCACCCAAGTGGGCTGCTGTAAAGGAAGCAGTGCACATCTGAAGCACCTGTTCCCAGGTGTTGGACAGCACACAGCAAAGGACTCTCATCCCTGAAAGCAGTGGGCTCCTCATCGTCCTGGCTGTATGTCTGGAAACATTTTCCAGACTATGGGGTGAGTAGGTGATGACCATGAATGAGTATTAAAGTATCAGCCAGTATAATTCATCATGGTATCCTCTCTAGAGATATGGAAAAACCACCTGACTATATTCAATACTCATTCATGATTTAGTACAATAAAAAACAACTAAGCAAAGTAGTGCTGGGAGCAAACTCCCCCAGCCTGAGTAATTACGAGTATCATGAGAGGAAACTAGCCTTTTATATATCTGAAAAGGCGCTTATTGATTAAGATAGATAAGATGTGATCACATAGTGAGATTTATTTTCCATAAGCATCATTCACAATAAACTGAATCTTTAATGTTATACACTAGGTATATAGTAGGTAGTTGTTTCTTTATTTTTTGTGTTATATTTTTTCTAGTGACTATATATTAAAACTAGTAAACTATTTTGAAATTGAGAGTTTTTTAAAAAGGAAGACTCCTCCTGCAAGCAAGTATGGTAAGAGAGAGAGGACCGCTGGGTTCCCCAGCTTGGGTAGGGTTTGGTGTGGGTAGGAGAGGATATTCCCGGAGGAGGGGCCTTGTCCATGACATGAGTCTAAGTCAGTACAGCGGTGAGCGAAACTGAAGCCCAGGCCTTGTACAACTTGTGCTGTAGTGGGGATAAGAATCATAATCAACAAGAAAACCACACATAACCTTATTTGGTTAAAGTGCCAGCGAGAAAAACAAGGCAAGCCGGGCATGGTGGCGCACGCCTATAATCCCAGCACTTGGGAGGCTAAGGCAGGAGGATCACTGTGAGTTCGAGACCAGCCTGGGCTACAAAGTGAGCTCCAGGCCAGCCTGAACTGCATAGCGAGACCTTGTCTCAAAAAGACAAAAAAAAAAAGAGAGAGAGAAACAATACAGGGAACGGAGATAGTAGTCAACGGCAGGAGATTACGGTTATAAATAAGGGCACCCAGGGAAGACCCCTTTAGAGGAGCAGATGATTTAATACCATGGGCATGTGGGAATGGACCATTTATAGGAAAAAACCTGCACCTAGGAAACCAATACATGGAAACTAGAGGAACTGGAGGAAACTAGAGTCACTGGGCCAGGTTGTGTGAGTTGGTAGGCACGGAGGGGAGATGGACAGATTGTGGAGACGCAGGCAATTTTAAGGATTTTTGCCTTTCACTTGGATGATACGGAAAGCCACTAGAGACTTTAGTGTAGAGGAGTGTCACACTCTTATTTAACAGTATCACTTTCGCTGCTTTGGAGGATGGACTGAAAGACATAAAGCGGAAGCGGAGAGAACAGGAGTAATTCAGGCAAGAAACGGTGGTTTAAACCAAGTCAGTAGGAGCTGAAGTGTGTGGAATGGTCAAACTGGTTTAATGTTAAAGATTGAAGCAACAAAATTTGCTCACAGATCAGAGTGGAGCAAGAGAAGGCTTAAGGACCCTGAGGTTTTAAACTGAACAGCTGAAGAGATTGAATTTGCTCTTAAGTGAAGGGAGAAAGGCTGTAGCAGTTGGAAGAGCTAAGACTTAAACAGGTTCGGTCTGAGAGGCAGTCAGTCCTTTTGAGGATGCAGTTCGGGAGAAGAGGCCCAGTGTGGAGATAATTACTTGGAGGTTGGCAGTGTGCAGATGAATTCACAGCCACGAGACTGAAAGAGGTGACTGTCGGAGTCTACTGCGATAGAGACAAGAAGAGATCAAAGAGCCGAGGCCTGTCTCTCCACTGTAAGAGGCGAGGAGAGATGAACAGAACCCAGCAACAGAGATGGAGAGGAGCTCCCAGGGCGGTCAGAGGAGGAGCAGGGTCTGCTGTCAGGTAAACCGAGTGAGGCAGCTCAGAGCGGAAGAAGCAAGCTGCTCTGCCGCGCACCGCGGCTAGGCCGAGCAGGTGAAGGTTACAGACTGACCGAGGTTCCTTGGGGCCTCGGCAGGAGCTGTTCTGTGGCACCCTGGGGCGAGCCCTCATGAGCGTGGACTAAAGGGTGTGCGGAAGTGGAGCCGCCGGGGACAGCAAGGACTGTACAGATCGTGGTTTCTGAAGAATTTTGCTGTGAAGAAATGTAGAGAAAAATGTGGTCACCAAGGGGAAAGTGAGAGTTAAAAGAGAGTTGCTTTTATTTTTAAGAAGAACACAGTGTATTTATAGGTGAGTGAGAGTGATCCTGGAGAGAGAAAAACACAGATAGGAGAAGAAAATGGGAAAAGTTGCTGTGGTTTGTACCCTGGAAGGCTGAAGAGGGCAGGTTTCAGAGCACACGTGCACACGTTGGCTTTTCTCAGACCCACTGTGTGTGACTCCCAAGCCCCTCCCCAGGTTTGATGGTTGACCAAGAAGAAACACTGGACTCCGCATGTAATTGTATTCATGGTTATGATTTATTGTGGGGAAATAATACAAAGTAAAGCCAGCAAAGGGAAATGGTGCACGGGCAAAACCTGGAGGAAACCAGGAGTAAACTCGGAAAAGTGCTCTCAAAGAGCAGTCACTGCGTTTAATGCCTGTGCCAGCCAGTCGTGACATCTGGGAAATGCCGCCTACCAGCGCGGCTCATAGGGATTCGGTCCCCCAGGTTTTCACGGGTGCTAATCTCGGAGCTGCCCTCTCGTGCAGCCCACAGCTCCAGCCTGGAGCCCTGGAGAGTCTCCCTGAGACGTGCTGTTGAGAGCACCCTGACCGCTTAGAGGATGGGAGATGCCTCTGGCCCCGGCCCTGGGCTCGGACTCGGGCGTGCGGTCTGTTCTGAGGACAGCAGGCCGGCCCCACTGCAGTAACTGTTTTCTGCACAACGAACAGAAGGGAAGGCAAAGGGAGGGTCCGTGCGGGTGATAAGCTGAGCCCTGGTGGTGGGGCTGAGGATAATGGTGGAAACAAAGGATTTTTTGAAAAGCAATACTGATTGAAAAATTTATATAGCCAGTAAGTGTTTGGAGTGCTACTTTATTTTTAAACCCAAACTCAGAGTAGAGAAATAATGCGGTGATACAAGAGATACCAACACAATAAGATAGAACATTGCTATGACAACTGTAAGTTTTTAAGCTTTTGGCATTGTTCATGCTATTTTCAGCTTTAAACGAACAATCTGATGCTACTATCTTGTAAAAGCTAATATTCTGGTGTAGACGTATACCTCAGGTGTCATGCAGGGCAGTAAATGGTGCTAAACAAGTATTTGGATTTTGTTAGAAAAGCCAGTCCATTAAAAATGGTAAAACACTGAAGAGTATATTAAGCCAAGTTTTAGTTTGTCAGTTAAAACTGTATGAAAACATGTTTCTGCATCTTACGATGGGAGGTTATAGGAATAGTTTAACTTTCCTATTAAATTGCTCATTTACAAAGTAAAATATTAAGTATTTTATTACAATACTAATTAATTATGCCATGGTGATTTTTTAAATAGGGTCAAGAATTTGCTCCCACAAGTGTGACAATAATTGGTCATTCTATGGGTGGCCTTGTTGCAAGAGCGCTGCTTACACTGAAAAACTTTAAACAAGAGCTGCTAAATCTTCTCGTCACGCAAGCCACGCCTCACGTTGCTCCTGTGATGCCGCTGGACCGTTTCATTACAGGTGAGGCCTCTCACTGGGTGCTGCCTGACCGCCGTGCTGCTTGGCAGGAAGGAAGCCAGTCCCGCAGCTCTTCCTGCAGAGAGCGCCCCGGGTTTACCTGCATCTGATGCTGCTCAGTTGCGCGTCAACTCGCTGATGACGACGGTGTCTCATGTCTTCCAGCCTAGGCTTGTAATCAGAATACTGTCAGTTTCGTCTTTCCGAGTGGTCTGAACATGGTGGTCGTAGGTATCAGGGCTTGTTTGGTTATTCTACAGAATGAGTCCTTCTCTCTTGAGATGGGTATGCACTTGCTGTACTTTGTTAACTATTCAGTAACCTATTAAAGACATGCTTATAGTCCATTAAAATAGTAGCAGTGCTTTGTTTTAAGGAAATAGATACACTGCTAGAGTTGCTAATGCTTACTGAATGCTCACTATATTTTGGGTATTGTGTTAAGGACTTTACCTGATGTATTAGCAGACTTTGTCTATACTGCAGTCCTCTGAGGTGGGTATCATTATTATCCCCAGGTTTGTGGGTAAGAAGGTCTTCACTGCTAATAGGAATATTATGAGAAGAAAATCTTTAGAAAGAGTTCTTTTCCTTGTCTTTATCAGTAAATTTATATAGCCCTCTTCTGGGGTTTTTTGCTTGTTTGTTTGTTTTCTTATTTGTTTGTTTTGGTTTTCTGAGACAGGGTCTCTAGCTGCATAGCCCCGGCTGGCCTTGAACTTCAACATCCTCCTGCCTCAGCCCCTGAATGCTGGGATTACAGGCGTGTGGCGTCACACTAATCACTGTGTAGCTCCTTACCTATTAAAATTTGTATGAATTTTGGAAAGTTTTGTTTATAGTTAAGTAATAAATCTACCCTGGTGACTCCGATCAAGTTAATTTTCTAAAGTTACCATCTTAACAATATAGCATTGCCAAAAAATAATTTATTTGCTGGAAGTGTTTGGTGTGTACTTATTGGAAAGGTTGACTTTTAAAAAAACTTTGCTTGGAGGAATATCTTAATAACAAAACTTTTAATTTTGCCCTTGTAATTATTTAAATCTTTTTTATTGCTTGTGAATCATAAATGAAAACAGATTAAAAATCAAAGAGGCTGGGTGCGGTGGTACACCCTTGTAATCCCAGCACTCAGGAGATTGAGGCAGGAGGACCACTATGAGTTAAAGGCCAGTCTGGGTTACATAGCAAGACCCCGTTTCACAAAACCAAAAAAGTCAAAGGCCAAAACTCTCCTTCCTTGTCAACACAGTTGACATATGTTACTGCATGTCACTGCACGTTTGATGTGTGTTACTGCATGTTTGATGGTGTGTGCAGATGAGCCACGATTAGGGTGGCTGGAGATCCACTGGGAAATGTTTTCTAGGAGCGAACTCACAGCAGAGCCCTTGCAGAGTTCTGAAGGATGGCAGTGGTCTCTTTCTAATAGACTCAGGCTAAAAGTGATTCTTAGGGCCAGAAAGCTTTGTAATTAGTAGGCTTGTCTTCTTTCTGCTCTGTATTTTTTAATTACATTAAGTCAGAATTAGAATTGAGGCAGAATTAATTCCAGCAGTGATGGATTTGCGGTTTCCTAGAGACGGATGGTGTGACTTCAGAAGTGGAGTCTGTGTACTCAGGGGTAGAGTGCAGAGCCGTGCTGCCTCAGGCCTCACCCTCTTCGGCAGGAGGCGGTGTGCAGGCCCAGCGTCCTTGAGTAGCTGCCCCTGTTCGTTAGACCACGGCCCAGGGAGCCCGGCTCTGCGGGTTTCTTGCCGTGAGTCCCAGCTTCTCTCCCAGGTTGCAGCGGCCTTTTTACCTGGCCTCATTCTCCTGGGGCAGGGAGGCACGGCCCCAGCTTGAAGCAGGACACAGCAGTGCGTGCTCTTGCACACAAGGCCCTTCCACGCGGGGTGGGCTGGGGGCGGGAAGGGAGAGAAGACAGCCGCGGCCAGACCTCCGCTTTCCTGTGCTGCCACAGTCCAGGGCCAGTTCCGAGGTGTCTGGGAAGCCTTGCTCTGAGCCTGGCCTCCGAGGTTAGTCTAGGTAGGAATGTATTAATTAATAGTGTGTCTGCTGGATTTGTGACTTCTAAATACTTAGACATAGGGCATGTGTGGCCCATTGGTACTCTAGTCCCGTGTCCTCCAGATGTCCAGGCTTAGCCTGGTGACAGCCGAAGTAATACTGCTGGGATCCGTAATGCAGAGAGCTGCCTGTACCACATGTTTGAAGTCCCGAGTGGAATCTAATGCCAGAATAAAAATGCATTAACTTTTGATGATCAGAGAAAGAAACGAGAGCTCCTCTCCCCTGGTCTCACCTTGGTAACCCTTGACACTGAAGTGTTCCTACCTTCGTAGACAAAGCCGGTCATTGTGTGCACATTCTTCGCTCTGAGATGCTTGTTACCTTTCAGGTGCGGACACCTAACCTTGAGATTGTTCCACAGCAGCATAATCCTAAAAATAACATCAGTGGTGCTACCCTGATAGATCATAAGAACTTTTTAAATAGTTCTGCCTGTGGGGATGGCGGGTTGCAGTAGTTACTAAACTCTTATAAATAGGGACACTGCATTGATAGAGAGGGGTAAACATATGTATGTATCCGAACTCCAACACCACAGATATCTACAACTCTTTAGTACAGTGAACTATTAAAAGAATTTTAGAGTTTTCTTTCCTTGTTACACTATGTGGCTCTTAAAAAATCCTATGGAATGTAAAGGCATGTTTGCATCTGGGCATGCGGTAGCCAGTAAGATAGAGGGGTTTGTTTTCTTTATTGATTCTTTTAATAACTTATTTAATGGACAAGTGGGAATACATATAAAGATAGTAATTTTTCTCAAAATAGAGAAATGTAAGTAACACATTGTTTATAACCGGATACTTAAAGAAAAATGCAATTAAAATTTAGTATTATAGGTATTGTTAAAGGGAATGACTACTGTTTTCAATGTCTGTCTTTTTTCTCACCAGATTTTTATATGACTGTAAACAACTATTGGATTCTAAATGCTCGACACATAAATTTCACCACACTTTCTGTAGCTGGAGGATTCCGGGATTACCAAGTTCGTTCAGGACTAACTTTTCTGCCAAAATTAAGCCATCATACCAGTGCCTTATCTGTTGTGGTAATTTTTTTTAAGATTCTATTGAAATAATAATATAATTAACACAGTGTAGCATGACAGAGAAATGAAATGTAGCTGCTTGGAAACGACGGTTGAGTTGGTGGTGTAGGCTTGCAGCAGGTGTGAGACAGAGAACATGTGTAAATGAAACTGAGTCCATTGTACAGGCAGAGACATGGATGCTTCCGTCCATAGAAAGTTAAAGGGCTCTTAGATACGTACCTTGTGAGTGACACTTACTTACGTCTTACTTAAGACCTGGACATAGATTAGAGTTGTAGCTATAAGAAAACGTGGGGTGAAGTTTAAGGGAACCTAGTTATATCTGAGTGTTACAGTGTACACACTATTAGGGAAATACCAAACACACCATGTACTCCTCTCTGCTAACCTCAAATGAAGATTTACCAGCTTTTAAATAAAGTGATTAGCTTTGATAGTAAAAATAGAACTCAGATTAGCTTGTTGATTATCCTTCCCTGCTAGACCATTGACTATTGGGTCTTCGGCCGATACAAATGGCTGTGTAAAGTGATCTCAAGTTTCCTTTTAGAGCTTCTTTCTTACCTATTAAGCCTTGAAGTCTTCAGTTAACATGTTCACAACAGAGCTGTAATTCATATGTTCCACTGCCGTGGAGCTTGAACCACCAGTGGTACATGCGTAACTGTTGGTACAAGTGGTACAGTCATACGTGGGATGGTCACGCATGTACCACCAGTGGTTCAAGCTAGCAGGGCTGTGTTAAGATATTAATGTGCTAACTCCATGTGTACATCATCTCTAAATACTGTAATTTATTTCTAAAGAGAAAACCCATAGGAGGTGATCTGCCTGTTCCTGTCGCTTTGAGGAGACGTGTAGAGAGTCACTCTTACCTAGTTGTTCCTCTGTAGCTCCTTGGTTCCTCTGAGCTGTTGGCCTGCCTCAGATTGCTGTCTATTTACCACACGGGTATTGTGCAGTGAGTGCTTGCCAGTGTCAGAGCAAAATGACCACGCTATTTTGCTATTACCCGTCATTTTCTTCTGACGAGCATTGAGATGTGCCCAGGACAGCTTTGGTTTGAAATTGTTAAATCTCTCAAACCTCATTTTCGCCGACATGACTCAGTGTCATTTGGTGTTGGATGTTTGAGCAGTTACTTGCTTCAAGTCCTTAAAAAGCTAAATGTCAGCTCTTTAGTGAACATAAGCAACTTAGTCGTACTAATGCTAATGCAGCTTATTTCCTAGGCTTGGCCAGTGTTCAGACCACACCCTAAGACTGGTGACTTCAGAATCAGTTGTTTTAAGGCAGTGTATATTTCTATGTCTTTGGCAGAAATATTTTACTTACAGAATTTTTCGAATATAGCCATTGTATACCCTGATTTATATAGTATTTAGACCTCAAGTACAGTAGCATATACTCTTTCACATATCTGCATATATGTTCACTTTTTAAAAAATTAAGAAGTAATAATATTTGAATTTTTTCGAGTGGGAACAGTTAAATGACATTTACATATTGGGACTAGGAAGAATCATTTGGGGTGGAGAACGTGTCTGTACTAGTAGGGAGGCTAAACTGCTAGAGCCAACTCCCACCCAGGGCATGGCATTCCGCATGGTAAAATAGCAGCACGAGAGCCCAGGAGAGGAAGTCCCCGTTGTGCAAGAAAAGAACCCTATTTGGTAGCATTTGTCAGCTTTCACCACACCATCATGAAAGCTACCTTTTTCACTTGCGTTGCTGTTTCTGTTTTTTCTTTCTTATTTTTTTTTCTTTGTACGACAGGATCTTGCGATGTAGTTCAGGCTGGCCTTGAACTCACTATGTAGCTCAGGCTGGCCTCAAACTTGCAGCCATCCTCCTGCCTCAGCTGCCCAAGTGCTAGGATTACAGGCATGCACCACCACTCCCGGCTGCCTTTCTTGTTTCAAACTGGAGAGGACCTAAGTTTTGCATTCTTGGTTGTGGTCGATGCTGTCTCCTAATCCGCTAATATAATCCTAGAACTCCAGTGACTTCTGCTTGCCTAATTTTTCAGTAAGTTCTCAGGAGTAATTCCCAAATATATCAGTGCTTATAAATTCAACAAGTACGCCTTCCCAACATGCAACCCCAAACTCATTTACAGAGTACAAGCATGAAGCCGAACCCTTAGAAGTTCACACACACCTGCTTTTTTCTTAGTTGTGTGCTTCATTTAGTAAGAGGCATTTTCTGCCTCCGAATGTCCTTGCGTCTGTGTTGACAGCTTCTGCTTTCATCCTGTTTGACCGTCCTGAGACGGCAGCTCACCGTGTCCTTGGTGCAGAAGGAGCTGCTGGGAGACGTGAACCCCTGTTGGCTTGCTGGGCCTCTCTGTGTGCGGCGTGCTGCGGCACGGTCGAACCTGCAAGGAGAGGGCCTCGGCTCCTCGGGCTGTGCACTGCCGCGGAGCCTTCTTTCTGCCGTGCTCACGTGCTGAGGGGCCTTTTGCTCTCCTACAGCCTAACCATGGAGAGAGATTTTGCAAAATCAGTAAAGCCTGGACCCTAATAATGAGAACCTGATTGGACAGTTCGGGGATTGTGACCAGATATATTTCAACTTTAAAAAATATTTTGAAGTATGTAGTTGCCAGAAACATTCTTAAGATATCGAAACACAGTTGAAAGAGTAGTTTTGTCAAAACCAAAATTGCTGAAATATTTTAACTTATTACCTAAACTATGATTTATTCAAGAATCTTAACCATGTATTAGAATAATTCAAAAGTTAGACATTAGCTTTGTCAGCATTATGTTAGCTTCCATAGCTCTTTGTTCATAAATAAATAAATCTGTGGGAGAAAGATGAAGTTAGGTCTTAGCACTCTGACCTTGGTTCTTGACTCGGTTTTTTTGTTTGTTTGTGTTTTTGGGTTTTTTGGTTTTTTTTTTGTCTTTTTGAGATAGGTTCTTATTATGCAGTTTGGGCTGTCCTTGAGCTCACTTTGTATCCCAAACTGATCTTGAACTCATGACAATCTTCCTGCCTCAGCCTCCCCAGCGCTGAGATTACAGGAATGAGCCACCACACCCAGCTTTTCTTGACTGGGTTTCACCAACTTTCCCTTCATAGTCACTAAAGTCATCTCACAAAGAACCAGGGACAGCCATCTCAAATAAAGTTAGAAGTATAAGAAGTTAGACATTAAAAACTTCAATACGGAATCCCTAGATATTGTAGTAACTTTTAAGGGGTAGTTTAAGCTTGACTGACCAGTAATGATATTTAGAGAGTTATATTATTTTAACCAGGAATATCTTAAAATCTGGATTACCTTTTCAAAGAATGTGTCATTTAAAAATATCTACAAGAAAATCATAATGACAACAGTGTTATCTGTTTCTAAACATCAGCTTAAAAGAATTTTAAACCTTTCAGAGAATAACAAGTATGGTTTCATTAAGTTTGATTTTTTTCTTTCCTTTTAGAGTTCAGCAGTGCCTAAGACGTGGGTCTCAACGGACCACCTCTCCATTGTGTGGTAAGTTAATGTGACTTCTCTTGGTGATTTCTTGTGCTCTTCAATGCATTCATTGGTTTGTTAGCTTTCTTAGTACTTTATCAGTAAATAAGATAGTTTGTGTGCAGAAGACTTATTTAGGGGCTTAGCACTCTAAGGTTGGTTCTTTACCAATATTTTTTTGGCAGTCTATAAACATCCCTCAAAGAATCAGGAACATCTGTTTCAAATGAAGCTAGCCTTGGATATCTGGGATAAGGGAAAGAAGAAAAGAAAGAAGGAAGGCAAATATGTATATATAAACACACACCTAAGATAGCTAAGATAATTTTACTACTAATTTCTATCGTTTTATTGAATGAAACAGTCAATGTTTAATTGTTTCATCGATCTTGCATACCTGTAACTGATAATCTGAGCAACTACTTTGAAGATAACAATAAGTAATACAACAACCGTTGTTGATTTCCTATCATCTTGTTTTGAAATTCTGTATTGTTTTTATAGTGTTTGTGTTGTTTTGTTTTGGGTATTTTGTTTTTGTTCTTTTCTCTTTAAAATAAAAGAAGAAAAAAAATCTTAGAGTTCATCATGGACTGAATCAAATGTACCTGTGCTGAGACTCTGAGCCCCGGACCAGGCACCACACTAAGATTTAATGAATATAGCAGTGACTGTCCTAGGGAGAAGTACACAACCACCCAGGAATCAGATTTACTCCTAACATAATTTTTTTTAAATAAGAGGTTAAATATGTTTCAAGAAAGGCAGACCTGTTCCTCAGACAAAGGAATATTATCTAGAACCTATAAAGAATTGAAAAAAAAAAAATCAGATCCCCAAATTTAAAACCCCAATCCAAAAATGGGCATCTGAGATGAATACACAGTTCTCAGATGAAAAAGTATGTTCTCAGATGAAAAATAAATGTATGAAAAAATGTTCAAAAATACTGGTCATTCAAGAGATGCAAATTAAAACAATGCTGAGATTCCATCTCACTCCAGAAAGAATGGCTATCATCAAGAAATCAACCAATAACAAATGCTTGCAAGGCTATGAGAAGAAAGGAACCCTTCTCCAGTGTTGGTAGGAGTGCAGACCGGTGCGACCACCGTGGAAATCAGTGTGGAGATGCTTCAGAAAACTAGGACTAGAGGTCCCATTTCACCCAGCTATTCCCCTTCTTGGTATCTTCCCAAAATAATTAAAAGCATCATACCACAGTGATATTTACACACTCATATTTATAGGAGCATAGTTTGTAATAGCCAGATCTTGGGAACAACCCAAATACCCATCAACCCATGCGTGGATAAAGAAGATATATTTTTTTAAACAATGGAGTACTACTCAACCACAAAGAAGGATAAACTTGAGCCATCTGTAGCTAAATGGATGCACCTTGAGACCACACTCTTAAGTGAAATACATTGGATGAACATGTATAAATATCGCATAGTCTCTCTGATGTGAGAAACTGAAAGTGCAAATAAGAACCAAAATGTGCAGTAGAAATTGTGAAATAGGAGAAATTATTCAAAAGGAAAGGGGAACTAGGGAGGGTGGAGGGGGAAAGGAAGGGGAAAAATGAGAAAAGGATAAAATGGAAACGGCTTCTGTAAATAAGGAGGGGAAGAAGAGTTGAAGGGAGGGGAGGGGAACAAGAAAAGAAGAGGAAGAAGAGAAACCGTGTACAGGTACGGTTCCCTATGATGAATGTGATCGTTATGTGTATCCAGATGGTGCCAGTAAACTTAATGGAGTAATAACTAAAAAAAGAAAGGCAGGCCCGGTGTCTGTCTCTGTGTTTTGGCCTGGGTGCTTTTGTGTCCTTCCTGCGGTTATGCAGGCACAGAGCCCACGGGAGCCCACAGTGCCCCCCTGTGAAGGTGCACAGGTGCAGGGTGTGTGGCCAGGAATGGGTGGGTGAGGAGACTGGGGACGCACCGTGTTACACTGTGACACGTCCAGGAAGTGTTAATTCCCTTTACCTTTATAGGTTTTGACCTTAAGACACATACATGCTTAATGAGAGTGACTTCCCATTTAAATAATTTCCTGCATCAGAGCATAAAAGAAACTCAGATATTTCATTAAATATAGAAACTTGCATATTTGGATCAAAAGTACATGTTTCAAGAAAGTGTCCTGTGTAACGCTTACTTTCTTCTTCAGGTGTAAACAATTGCAGTTGACTACGATCCGAGCATTTTTTGATCTTATTGATGCTGATACTAAACAAGTATGTATTTTTAAACTAAAAACTATTGCACCACAATGAAAGCTTCTATGATAGCAATGATAGATTTAATGCCTGTTTTTTTCTTTTATGACAATAGAAGCCTATACCTTCTATCGATTTTAATTAGTTCCAGGATGGAAATATACATTTTTATGACACTTTGATCACTGTTAATAACTCATAAAATGCAATGAAAATGAATGAATATTTTAAATTTTCCTATTATCTCTTCACTGTTTAAAAGTTTGATGTATATCCAGTTTTTTCCACTTAAAAGTAACACTATTGGAAGTTATTTTTATATTATCTTTTCCTAGTATTGTAAACATGATCTGTCTTACCAGGTATTTTTGAGCCATGTTTTTAAAACTGTCTTTACCCTTCTGTATGAATTCTATGCATTCATTGACTAGCCCAGGCTCAGCAGGACTTAATTGTGCACTTGCAGAAGTCAGACCTTTCCTGCCGTGAGACTTCGCACTAGCAACTCTTCACACTGGTGATTTTCCATGGTGTTTTGCTAACAGAAAACCATGGATATCACAGCACCTCCTACAGAGCACTGCATTGCTCTTTTATCCCTTTCTTGTCTTGTAGCAGATAAACAGGGAAGATACCACAGATTTCCATAAAGTTCAGACGGGTCTGTTACATTTCTGTCCCGTGAGTTGGAAACGTTTCTGTTTTTCCTACTAAATAGCTGGTGCGTTGGATCACTTTGCAGTAATCAGTGTTCCCTGGAAATATGTTTTGAGAGCTATGGCTCTTCCCTTTGAGGAAATCATTCCTGTTTTTTAGGTCCTTTTTTTCATTATGGCAAAGTATTACAGCCCAGGTATTTTGGGAGCTTTTTTCCAGAGGACTCCATTTCTTGAGGAGACCAGTGTGGGTGGCCCCTCTGAGTAGGTCTGTGTGAGCTTTTCCTCTTCAGTATGTCCTAGAACCTCTCTCCTGTCATTTACCCTCTTGAGAGGAAGGAAGGGGAGTCTGCATTTTTTCCTTTCCTCTTCAGAAAGCTGAATAACTGCTATTGGGATCCTAGACTTTGGATTCTTGTGAACATCCTTATCATTCTGTATTGTGCCAAGTTGTAAGCCAGCAGATTTCATCTTGTTATGTTTATTGAAGTATATAAGCTTGATAGAATTAACACTGTGAATTGTCATCCAACACAAACGCTTTTTGGGTATGAACATTTTAATGTGCAGTTTAACTATGGTAAAAGTTTTAAGTCTCCAAGAGAATGCACCTAGATATGCTGTAGTAATAGAGTCAAGTAAAAAAAGCAAACCAAGTTGTATACAAACTCACATATGGTAGACTGAAAAAAAAACCTTATTCCAGTCAGTGAAGAATAGAAGTACTTTAAACATAGGTATATCCTTTTAAAAACTGTACTTGAAACTAAATTTAATAAACCATGTTTTTCCAGTAATTCATGAGCTGAGAAAAATACCCTATTACTAGTATGTAATGCAGGGAGTAGCTTCCAAGAAAGAACAATTGGCACTTTGTATTTTTCCCTAGTGACTGGTGATTATTGGGGATTGGCTGTGCTCTGAGCATGGAAGCTAGTGTGTTGGCCTCACTAGATGAATTCTTTTCTGATTCTCTATGTCTTTATAATGGTCTATTAATTTATTTGAGAGGAATTGATACATAATGATTAAATATAGACTAGAGGGAGAATGCCTGGCTCTGAACACCTGCCCAGATTCTTAACCGTTGTGTGGTTTTGGGATGAGTTCATTAATTCTCCTATGTTTGAGTTTCTTCGTCTTTAAACTGCAGATAAAAGGTTGTCTTTTAGAGGTCTGTGGTGATTAATTGCATTAATAACAGGTTAAGGGACTCACACAGTGCCTGGTGTAGAGAAGTAGAAGTGCTGGCTGACACGACTTCAAACAGTGTTTGATAGAATCATCCTGTTATGAAGTGATAGAGTATTTCAATGTTCTTTTATAGATAACTCAAAATCCCAAGAAGAAATTGTCAGTTTTGAATCACCACTTCATAAGACACCCAGCAAAACATTTTGAGGAGAATCCAGCAATAATTTCTGACTTAACAGGTTGGTGATAATGGCATGTTTTAAGTACAGTTTTTGATTATTGTTTGTAAGTAAATTTGTTATTAGCAGACAAAAGTCTTTGAAACTATGATACAGGTATTCTGACCCACACATTTTATCCATTTCCCTATGATGGTGCTGGTGAACCTCTTTAGTTTAGAATTGTAAAAGTAGAAAAAGCAAGTTATTAGAATGCTCACAAAAATTTTGTGCTGAAAATAACATGACAAATAGAGAAGGTGTATTCATTTGTTGTTTGCAGTGTTGGGGACTGAACTCAGGGTTTGCGTTTGCACATGCTAGGCAAGTACTTTACCACTAAATTACACCCTGATCCCATAAATGTTTATAGAGTTAAACAGCTGGACATAAAGTAATAGCTCTAGTAGTTTTGATACCTTTCGGTTTCTTAACGTCATTTATTCTTAAGCCTTTCAATTACCAGCATATCTTTTACTGGTAAATTTTGCAGGTAAATATAATACCGGTTATACTTTACTTAATGAAATGCTGTGCTTGGGAGAGGAAATGCTTATTTCCACCTATCGATGATTCTTTAAAGACGCCCGACAAATGTAGCACTTTTGTGTGTGTTGTGAGTGCCAGATGCTGATCAGCCTAGAGAGGATGTGTTCCTGGATTTCTCTGAAAGTAGTCAGTGTTCAGAAACCACTTCTCCATTAGGATCAAGAAGTATTTCACCAGGATTCAAAAAAAGAAATGATTTACTATTAAAAAGGCAAGTAAATTAATTTCCTTCACTTAAAGGGACATCTATGTGGGTTCCAGTAAAAGTGTCCAGATGGACCTATGTGGCTTACAATGTAAGTATGCCTCCAAAGGATTCTTTTAAAAAATATTTTAATACTTTATTTGTAAAAGATAAAGGCTCTTCATAAAAACATAACCATATACTATTTTCCCACAATTTAATAATTCTTGAATATCTAGTCAGTATTCAATTTTCCGGTTACATCATAAATTTTCCCCTTTGTTTTTCAGCTTGTATATTTAAGTCAAGATCTGAACAAGACCTACACATGGTCATTGGTTATGTCTCTTAGTCCTCTTTGATTGTCCACTCTTACTTTTCCTTGATACTTCTTTGTTGACAAGAGTAGGCCGTCACTCTGTGGCATAGTTTCCCACAGTCTTGATTTTGCTGGCTGAATTGCTGTGGTCATTCAGCTTATCCTTTAGCAACTTTTACTCTCCCTTAGCAGGTTGGAGCTAGGTATTTAATAGGATTCAGGTTTTTCTTTTGTTTTTGCTTTTGCTAGACTCTTTCTACAATATTAATAGCTCATCAAAAGCTCTGCCACATCTACTAAGTTTGTCAAAAGTGGAGAGAATCATGAAGGAAAAAGTGATAATCGCTTAAATCTTTGGTTCTTGCCTTTTCTCTGCTGGTTTTCAGAGCAGTGAGTTGGTCCGTTGGTGTCCTCCATCAGTGACCGTTAGGTATCCCCCTCCCCATGATTGTGAGTTCATGGATTTAGATATATTTGTGTTTCGTTCCTAAGATTGTTCTCCACTTGACCGGAGGAAGCCATTTTAACTTTGGCTCCTTACTGTTCTTTAATAGTTTCTTCACTGTCCAGTATTCAGCTCGTTTTGTGTATTTCCTAGCCCAGAGCCGGAACCAGCTCTTTCTGTTTTGGTTTGGTTTTGTTCTTTTGTAACAGGCTCTAACTATGTAGCCCAGGCTGGCCTGGAACTCACAGTGATCCAGCTTTTTATTTTGAGAAATGTATCTCAGGACCAGAAATGATCTGGCACTACAGGTGCTTGTGGCTACTGGGTTGGCAATTGGAGGCATTGTTAGTAACCAGAGATAAGTCTTATTTTATCACAATGAAAGGGCCAAAAATCACAAGGAAAAAAAAGCGTTTGTACTGATACTGGTAAGAAAAATTCAGAGCTACAGACTTTATATTCTGTCTTAGCTTCTGGCCTTTTGATCTTACTCCTAGAATGTTGGTTCTTGACGATTCCAAGAATGATAAAATAATGATTCATTTGCTTTATCTATACTTTGGTGGCGAAATTGCCCACTCTTGTGACAGCCATATTGAGTGTTTTTCTTCTTTTTATAGGAATCTGATAAGATATATTTTACATTTCCTCTTGCAAATCATAGGAAAACCTATACTCATGCCTATTGCCAGAGCACCATGTTGGTAAGATAATTGGTATATTTTATGTATATTTAAAAGGCTGTTGTTCATTTTTTAGATTCAACTAATAATCTATGTATTTACATATTGAACTATTACCATTAAATCTAATTGGTTGGAAAGGACTTGTTTGGAATAGTGTTTTCATTAAAGTATTAACAGTTTTCTAAAACTGATAATGTTTTACTACTTTGCACCTTTGGTTTTTTTTTTTTTTTTTTTTTTTCTTTTTGAGACATGGTCTCACTATGTAGTTCAGTCAGGCTGGCCTTGAGCTCACTTTGTAGCCCAGGCTGGTCTTGAACTTGCAGTGATCCTCCTGTCTCAGCCTCCTGAGTGCTGGGATTATAGGCAAGCACCACCATGCCCGTCTTCCACCTTTGGTCTTAGTTTAGGTTTTTGCCCTATTTTCTGCCTTAATTTCACTGTGTTCAGGATGAAAGAATTGAATTCAAAACCCCTTTAATTCTAAAATTTTATTGATATTTTAAGTAATAAGTCTAGGTAAAGCAAAGCTGTTACATAGGAATTTTATATAGTGAATCCTGTTTGCCATTGGCTTCCATTCTAAAATTTCAGGTACATTTTATGCCAAATACCATTGAAGACCGTGATTTGCACAATGTAGTACAGGCTTACTATGTCAAAGTTATGATTTTGTGTTTCTTTTTAAGGAATAGTTACTGTGCTAGGCATCATTTTAAAAAGTTAGATGCTCACTTTGGCTACATATATACTAAAATTGGAGCAATACAAGGCTGACATACAAATGTGTGAATCGTTCCGTATTTTTTTAAAAACATGGTAGATGCTGTAGCATGCTTTTATAATTATATGACAAAGAATAATTCTCACAATTTTTCAACATTTCGTACTTAATAGATTTTTTTTTCCCAATTTGAATTATTTTTCCTCTATCCCATTGCCTAGGTTTTTTTTATGTTATATGTGTACCTTTAATAGTTTAAATTCCCCCTTTCTCCATTGTGTTAGGTTGTATATATTTTAGAGCCCCAGTGTAACGTATCATTTCACTGATAGCTGTTGCCGTCTGACACTCGGTGTAGTCTTTAGAGAAGATGGGCAGCAGCCCCGTAGACCGGCTGCTCAGGGGTGCGCCGGGTTAGTGGAGTTGCCGGGGTTTTGCAGCTCCCACATGATGGCGTCTCCTACCCTAAATCTTAGTGGGCAGAACCTGGTCCTGAGAATGAGGGCTTAAAATAGCCACACTCAGGACTGGATTCCAAATGAGAGGTCAGCATTGTATTGAGAACAATGCTTGCCAAAGTACAAATGATCTGTTGGCTGAGGGGAGGATCCCTGTTCTGTATTTAATGGTTATGGGCATTAATTACGTTAGGTCATGTGGTGAGCTTTAAAAATAATCTTTCCAATTTTTATTAGAGGAGTTTTCAGGCATATAAGTAGAAAGAAAATTTTACAACCCACACACACCTCTGCTTACCACTGGCCTGTCATTCTTACAGTATTCCTTCCCACCTTTTTGAACTGAAGCATTTTAAAATTCTTGTCATTTTATGATTTCATTCATAAATATTTCAGTACTTTTCTATCAGATAAGGATTTTACATAATACAGACAATACCGTTATTTCATCCAACCAAATTAATAGTAATTCATTTCTTCTTTCTGTTATCCAGTCCGTGTTCATTTTCCTCAGCTCACTTAAATTTCAAGTTGAAATTATTTGAGTGAAGATTCAAATTGTGTGTATTGTCCTTAGTTTATGAATCTTAAACCTCTTTTATAACAGACCCTGTCCCTCTTCCCTCTAGGCCGTTTGTTCAGGAAAGAGGATTATATCTCCCGCAGAGTTTGCTACAACCTGAATTTAGCTAATTGCATTTTGGGGGTATCATTTAATATGTATCCCCTATTGTTTCCTGTGAACTGGCAGTTAGATCTAGACTCTTGATTAGACTCTAGCTAATTTTTTGTAGTAAGAAAGTTTCATAAGCAGAGCTGTGTGTCTCCTGCATCACGTCAGGAGGTACATAATATCTGGCTGTGTGTGATGGCTTGTCAATGGACTCGGGGCATCAGTGTGATCTATTCATTATAAAGTCCCCAGGAAGTCTTTTACGTAATTATTTTAGCAACCATTGGAGACATTATTTTTACTGTAGTCAGAACGTTTTGAGAACTGTAATAACTTTCTCATCAGCATTTTCTCTTCTGTATACTTCAGGAATTAGTAATTTCTTGAGTACTTCTAAGAGTTCCAGTGCAGTTACTGAGTCGAGTGTTTTCGAGATGGTCTGAAATTGCTCTTTTGTGTGTTAGAGTGGTTTTGAACAGTACATTATCTGTTCAACTCACTGATAGACAAGTGAGGATTTCTGATACCCTGAAGTAAGTTTGTGGAATATTAGCAGTTCTTTTAAAGAGGGCTATCTTTGAGGATAGGCTTCATTAGTAGCTGCAGAAAAGAAAGTCCTAAAATTTTATTTAATGTCCATGAGGGTAAAGACCATGTCTGCCTGGCTTATCATTTTCTCTTAGGGCCAAACTTAATTCCTTGGCGCTGCACTGGACTTTATGGACATCAGGTGAAGGGACAGAGCCATTTCTTCACTGTCTTATCTGTAATACTAAGGGGGAATTCTGTGCCTGACAGGGCTTCTCGTCTTCCTACACTGTGCAGGAACGTCAGTAGTCAGATCATCACATTAGATCCTGGAACGCTGCTCCTGTTCCCTTAAATTCGGAAGGAAGTTCTTGGGTCACTCTGCTTTTAAACCCTACAGCTGAATACAGCTGGGTTAAAGTGTCGCAGTCCCCTCTGTAGCACCCTAGCTCCGAACTGATAAAGGATTAGCTAGCTTCTCTCTACACACTCCTGAATACATAGAGCTTGTCTGCTGGTAATCAAATAGGGACTCAAATGATAAAGTAAAAAGCTAGACTCAGCTTATTTTTTAATTAAATTCGTTTATTTTTAGTTGTTCTTTTTAATTGCTTGACTTTGGATTTTTGTTGGTATGAAATTCTATCTCTAGTTTTCATTTCTGTGTCTGTAGCTTTACTGCATAGCTATCTGATGAAAACTATGGGCAGTACCAAAGTCTGAAAGTTGTGGTTAAGGGAAATGCTCATGGGTGTGGCATGCTGCACACAGTAAAGGCGCCCGGCAGGTCACTGTCCGCTGCCGCTACTCTAGGTCAGTGCTTACCTGCTGGGTCGGGTTGGCCTTGGGTTTTGTTCCTGTCCTTGATGGTGTGACTTGGGAGAGCATCTCGCGTGTGCTCCTCTATTACACATGCTACTTTATGTCTGCCTTGTTCCTCCTCATTGTGTAATGGGAAGGCACTGAAGATTTTAGAACAATATCTTGTACAATATTCAGTGTGTTTTCTGCCGTATTTGCTGCAATGTTTAGTGTGTTTTGTTTTGCATTATTAATCCACAGGATACAAACAGTTGGATTTTCGGCTGTGTAAACAGCACTTCTATGTGGTAAGTCTTCGGGATTCAGTGCCTTCTATTCTCAAACACTCTTAGAAGTCACAGATAGCTGCGTTTATTCTTACGCTCATCTGTTGTAACATTGTTACAGTATTTATTTTTAAATGCAAAGTAAGAAATGAATATACTAGTAATTTTTATAAACATTGAAAGTAGTTGGTAGTTAGGAAAAACAATTTTTATTTTTGTTGCCAAAGGAACTGTGTGGAAAGTACTGGATTAGATTTACTAGACTGCAGTTCACGTATTGTAACTCTCTACTAGGTCTGTAGATGTCTTCTTTTTCCTCTGAAGCTTATTTGTAATGTATAATACTTAACTGTATTTGTTCTTTAATTGTATCTTGTATTTCTTTCAAAGCCGGCAAGGGATTGATCTGTCATGGAAAGCTGAACTACTGCCAACAATTAAGGTAAATAAATGTAGCTTTAGAAGCTTAATATTCAGTGAAAAAAGTACTTGAGCCCATAGACATACGCTGTCGGGTATTTCGTAAACCTGAGACTGTGGGCCTACACTTTGCAAAGGTTTTCTGTAGAGAAGTGGGCAGTTAGTATTCAGCAGCGGGGTTGCTCGCTGATAGAGCCCCTGCCCAGAGTGTGCAGCAAGGGCCTGGGTGTGGTGCCCAGTGCTGGGGGAGAAAAAGACTTCTAAGTTAACGGTTTTATGAATCACTGTCTGTTACAGCATCATACTAGAAGTTGGATAGATTTTGAACACTGAATTTGAGAGTGTTTACATAGCCGGTCTTAAGCTATAAGCTGATGAATACCTTTCACTCAGAATTGACTTGGAGAGGAAGTACCTAAAGCAGGGAGGTGGGCATCCCAAGAGAGGTGAAGTAATGTCCAATCAGTCCAGCACCCTGTTGCGGTCAGCTCTTGGAGGACTTCCTCTGCAGCCTGCTCTCCAGGGCAGTGATCACAGGGGCATCCCCTGGGAGTCGTGCTTTCCTAAGTGAGTGGGGCAGAGCAGCAAGTCTTATTTAAAAAACCACTTACTTATGTAATCTAACCTGTTGCTGAAAAGGCAGAATAACTTAAAATTAGATGAAAGTTACTTCTTATTTCCAAGTTGCATTTACTATAATTGATGTTATACCAGAATTGATAGTTTTCAGTCTTCAAGTGAATCAGTACTTTAAAAATAAAATATTTTCCTAGTGAGTGCTAGACTCACAGACTTGAAAGAGAAATCAACCCAGCTGTTCCCAGTCATCATTAACCTGACACCAGTTCAGGTTTTTTTGCCAGCAGAGAGCGGAATGGTACAGAAGCAATAGTTGCAGACTGCTTACACTTGACTGGTTGTGGGGTTTTTCTGTCACGTTGGTCAGTCTACTTTGTGCATATTCATTTGTGGAGTGAATATTATTTGTATTTATGTAAGAAATATTTTAGAGAAGTAACTTGACTCTTGAGCATTTTTCAGATCCCACTGATTCTATCCTCACCTTCTAGACAGGAGCAAAACAAACAAAAGTATTAGGATATTCTTATTAAGTAATTGTTCAGAAGACATAGGATATATGTCCTTGAATTTCCAATTGGAATATTCTGTCCATCTTAAATTTAAGAGTTAGGAAGAAACAAATGATTAAAAGCCTTAGGAAATGTACTTTGTTCTCCTCTGTTTTAAAAGTTATTTCTTGAATCAGAAAATCTTTATATTATTATTTTTTATCTCCAAAGATTGAGCATTTGTGTACCAAGGTCTGGATCCCTATGTTGTGTGTTCTGAATGTAAGAAAGAGACTTGCTGACCAGCAGGAGGAGGAGCTGTTCCATCTGCTTCCTTTTTGTAGAGAAGGGTAGACGGGAGAACTTAGAAAACAAGGATTTAAATATTCTACATTCAGGCTGACGATATAGCTCAGCAGCACAGTACCTGCCCAGCAAGCGCAAGGTCCTGAGTTCAATTCCCGGTACCAAAAAAAAAATCACACTCAATATCCTGCATTCCTGGGTGTTCTCAGCGTAAGAGGGTTATAATTACTAGGTATAAACTTCTCTATTGTGATGGAAATCAAGATTTTATATAGTGTGTGTTAGTCATTTGTAAATAGCACAGCTGTTTTGCCACAAAGTTAAAGGAATGATTAAAATGAAAAAGTTTTACAGTTTTTATTTATATTATCTTAACAAAGTTAATGTCAGATGAGAATCATATCACAGGAATCTTCGCTGACCAAACCCTGCAGCAGAACACTTACAAACTGAATGCCTTTATTGTTGAGAATAGTTCATATTTAGAAGCTATTCAGAATGAATAGCTGTTACACAAGGTATCCACGCTCTTCCTAGCTAATGTGTCTTGTGTGCTGTCTGCCGTTTATCTGGTGGGTCTTCGGTGCCTGTAGTGGTGATATACGTGGCTTTTGAATTGATGCCGAGCATCTGAGTGCTGCAGACTGCTGAAGTGCGGGCCTGGTCAGGTTGTTACAGGACCACTCAGCTAAGCCGGGACAGTTTCGTTAACTTCAGTACTTCTACCCTAATTCCCCACATTGGTGCTTCTGCAAAAGGCTGCAGGAAGCTATGTCCCTAGAAATCTCTTAGTGTAAATGCACCTAAACATATAACCATGCCCATCCCTGTCTTCTTCCAGAGAAAACCTGGATTTAAAATGGTATTTACAGGTTTGGCATACTCTTAATAGATCTGTTCATTTCTCAAAATGCGTGCTGTTAGGATTGGATCTTAATTTTAAGAACTGTAGTTTTCTGACTTTGGTGCAGCACATTATTAGCATCCCTGCATTGATGGCATAAATGCCAGGGGCTGATGTTCATGTTACCGCTAACTGGCAGCTCTTTGCTACCTGGGCTGGCTCGGACTCGTCTGAGATTGCACAGTAACTCTCCCGTCACCTGTGCATCCCTCCCCCAGCTGTGGTGCTCTGTCTCACACTACCACAGCAAGCCTGGGGCTGGAACTGGGATGCTGCCTGCACTGCAGGGCCGCACTGCGAACCCAAGGGGCCAAGTCTGGGAATGTGTAGTGCTAAGTGTTACTTGCTCTATGTGAGGATATGCCAAGGACTATTTGGGGAAGTCCATGTTTAGTATAATTATTAGGAATTTTATTTCCTATAAGATTATTATCTCCAAATGTAAAAATGGACATTTTATGAAGTACAAAACATAAATTTAAATTTAAAAAAAAAATTGGGTGCTGAGAATTAAACCCAGAGCCTTTTGTGTGCTAAGCATGTGCTCTCTGAAATGCTTTTTTAAGGTAACAAATTAAGAACTAAGAGCTTGTAATTTACCTTTTGTTTAACATGCTTGAATCTCCATCTACACTGAAACATAAGAGCACTTCTTTTCTTTTTTTTTCAGTCTCTGACATTAAGGCTTCAAGACTATCCATCTTTGTCTCATCTTGTGGTTTATGTTCCATCTGTTCATGGAAGTAAGGTAACAAATGGGTTAGGGTTTTCAGGATGTTTGGGGGACGCTCTTGCTAAACTTTCAAAAGTTCACTTCCTGATGAGTTCTTGAACATAGGGCTTGTCAAAAACAGTACCTGGTGTTGGTGACTCACCTCAGGCTGCTCCGTCACTGAGATGATCACTCCAGCTTGAACCCCTGCTGCTCCCCCTGAGAACTTGTTCCTGCTTATGCATCTCTTACAGTCTGTTTCTTACTAGGCCCCTTTGCATACACGACTACTTGTTGCCCTTTTTGGTAGGAGAAGAAAAAGAAAGAATACCTAAGAAAACGTAATACAAGAAAGAATGTGGAAGAACATAAACAACGTAAAAGGAGAGAGAATTTTTTTTTTTTTGTACTGGGAATTGGACTCACAACCTTGTGCTTGCCAGGCAGGTACTGTGCCACTGAGCTATATCCCCAGCAGGAAGACAATTCTGATTGAAGGAATCAAGAATGGCTTTATAAGGAGGTGTCATTATGGCTTTATAAGGAGGTGTCATTTAAAATGTTCTTAAAGTTGGAGATGTAGCTCAGTGGCATAAGCACCTGCCTAGCAAGTGCAAGACCTGAGTTTGATTCCCAGTACCAAAAAATAAATCAATAAAAAATAAAATGTCCTTAAAGTATAGTTAGGATTTTTGTAGGTAGGATGAACATTGTAGAATTGTGCTGTCAATAGGAAAATTATTGGTATGTGGCTGCTTAAATATAAACTAATCAAAATTAAATATAGTTTAAAACTCAATTCCAGCAGGACATGGTGGCACATGCCTGTAATCCTAGCACTCAGAAGGCTGAGGCAGGAGGATCACCTGAGTTTGAGGCCAGCCTGGGCTACACAGTGAGTTCAAAGCCAGCCTGAACTATATAGTTGAGACCCTGTCTCAAAAAAAAAAAAAAAAAATTCAGTTCCTTAGTTGTTTTAGTCGCATTTTAGAGGACTGCGCTTTCAGACAAGGGGCAGTGAGAGCCATTGGTGCAAAAGCGTGCTGTGTACTTGGAAAACAGTGGATAAGTACATAATTCTGAAAGGCTGGCTACCAGGGCCAGAATGATAACGGAAAAAAGAAGTCTTTGGCCATATTGTGGAGGCCTTCTTGGGAGATGCAGGACTTTGTGGAAGGCAGAAGCCAGTAGAAAGCTGTAAGATTTCTCACCATTGTAGTAAGGGGGTCTGAGATGACGGATCTGGGAAGACTGAGCTATGTGTGGTATAAGATGGATCAGAAATAGGGAGACTAGATACTTGAAATGGGTTGTGAGCGCTTGCGGGTAGGAGGCGGTAGTGTAAATGGGACGTGGTGATTGTAAGAGAATTGGCGTTGGGGGAGAGGATAGAGTTAAAGGCACCGTGTCGTTCTCCCCGTTGGACCCAGCAGGCTTGTTCTTCAACACCCTGCCCAAGTCCCTCTTCCTTTCCCCAGCTGCTCCATTAACCTCCTTAACCCCATTCTACTCTGATTCTGACTTTCGTGAGGGATGTGTCGCACTGAATTACCGTCTCTGCCTCTATGGCCATCGCTGTATTGTGAGCTCTTTGAGTGTAACGGCCAGAAAAGTTTTATTCTGTGTTGCATCCTCAACCTTTAGTGACCACCGCATAATTTTTTTTTTAATGGTTCTTAAATGAGAAAATTGAAAAAAAGTACAAGATTTGTGGGCAGAATGATTGGGGAAATATGAAAGAAATAGGGAGAATAAAAAGGGCTGTAACTGGAAGTCATCTCAGAGACTGAGTCTCACAAATGCCTTATAACAGATTCATCACTTTGTTTTGCTTAGCTCAAGTCAGAGCTAATTGTGCATCTTCCCTGCCTAAAGCTCTCTTTAAGGGTTTTTCTGTCAGGTAAGTTGGTTTTGAATGAAAGTAACATCTTTCCCAAACTTGAAAGGCCTTTTGTGGTTATTCCAAGAACTGAATGAGCCTTTCTGCAAATAGACCCGCTTAGTAGCCTGATAAATATGTAATATGTCCTGGTGTTACATGCACGCACGCACGCACGCGCGCGCACACATATGCACACACACGCACCTCTGGAATGGTAACTTGTGTCTCTTCTACTGTCTGCCGGTCTGTGTCTTGGCTGTCATCAGAGGCCTACCCCTCCCAGGCCGGCAGAGAAGGGTTTGTGTCCGCTGACACCTTTCTGACTGGTTTCTGAAATGCAAATGTGGGGGTATCTGCATTTTTTTCATGATAAACAAAATAACTAAACCCATTAGAAATGTACTTGCCTTGGATGTTTTAGAGTCAGACCTTTTAATTCTCTTTCTTGGGTAAGGATTCAGTCTGTTATGCAAAACTAAAGGCACAGCCAGATTTTTAAAGTGACAGTGAAAATTCTGTTTTAAATATCTATACAAAGTGATTGAAATTGCTTTTAAAAACTGCCCCTTGTCTCAGATAATGACTCACTTAAAAGTACTTGGGAGAAATACAGGATCATGAAAAATCCTGTTCAGTAATAATTTCTCTGATCGTTCAGCAGCTGCTTTCTTCGTGAGGGTGATTGCGTTCTCTGCCTTGTAAAAGGGAGAAGTAAGAAGCAAAGCCCTTAGCAAGCCGCGCTGCTGCCACCACGTGTACAAGTCTTAGAGCCACTTCCCTTGTCTGTTTTTTACTTAGAAGAACAGTGAAAAATCCACCCAAGAGGCAAACAGAATAAGACTGCTTCCGACATCCGAGGTTTATTCACCAGAGCAGCCTCGGAGAGGCCTGTGGTCTTCCACTGCCCGCAGACAGCAAACTGCTCGCTGCCTCCAGTTGGGCCTTAGACTCACCTCAGCGCGCATTGAACAGTCCAGTGGATCGCATTGTGCAGATTACTTTACTGAGCTTTCACGTTCGCCAGAAACCGTTCCTCTTGCAGATAACTGAGAACGGCATTTCCTACACAGTTTTAGAAATGTTGTTACAAAGTGGTGTTGTCTCTACAAAAACTATAATGGGGCAGGGGGCAGGGATACAGCTCAGCAGCACAGTGCCTGCCTGGCAAGCACAAGGGCCTGAGTTTGTCTCTGTACCAAAAAATAAAAATAAAAAATTATACTGGGGTAGATAGCACATGATAGGTTTCCTCTTTAAAAAGCATTTCTTTTGCTTCACATACAGTAAATGTTTCCCAGTTACAATAACTGTTTAACCTGAACTAATCTTACACAAATAACATTGTGGGTGAATGGCAGCAAGTGTCTGAAACCCTTTAGTAGTCTTATTAGACTGTAGGTGTTTTAGGATTTTTCAAAAAATGTGTAACAAAATTACATTTTCCTTTTGACAAGGAAGTATTCCGGCCTGTAGTGTCTCAGTCCTTAAGTAATCTTGAATTATGAACCTTTGGCCCATCCTTTAATGTCCGTCTACAGATACCTAAAATCATCAGAAAACTTTGCTGTGAATGTGTTACTATAACTTACTTAAATTGAGCTTATTTGTTAAATTTTCTCAGCATAGCATTTCTGCTTCGGGAGCGTGTGCCACTGAAGTAGAGTTCTAGTGTGATCAGTGACGCATTTTCCAAAGCTAAGCCTATAGACTTTCGTTTTCTCCTCAAAGTCAAGATACTTTACTATAAATTTGATTGTTTTTCTAATAAAGCAATATTTTATGTTTCAGTTTGTTGTAGACTGTGAATTCTTTAAAAAAGAGACCAGATCAATACAGCTTCCTGTGACTCATCTTTTTTCCTTCGGTAAGTACTCTGTTTTGGGGAGACTTTTTTCCAGTACTGAGGGGTGAACACAGGGACACTGCACACTGAGCCGCGTCCCCAACCCTTTCGCTCTTACTTTGAGTCAGGGTTTGCTAAGCGGCCCTTTTAGGGGAGTGCTACTTTCTTTTGCCCGTGAGTTACAATAAAACAGCCTTGCAAAACAGCATTGTGAGCGTAGTCCTCAGGGTGATCCTGTGATGTGCATTAGTGGTTTGGTTCTCAGGTAATACAGGGCCAGCAGTCATCTTCTCAGAAGTGGATTTTAAAAGAACATGTTCGTAACCACATACATTTGAAGGGAATCGTGTGTGTGTGTGTGTGTGTGTGTGTGTGTGTGTGATACGAAAGTTATACTGAATGCTGGCACTTTTCATGAAGTTGTTTCGTTTTGTTTATTGTGATACTGGGGATCAAACCCAGGATCTTGTGCATGACAGGCAGGAACCCTACTATCACGCCATCTCACTGGCCCCTTCATGAAGTTTTTATTTTTATTTTTATTTTTTTTTGGTTTTTCTCTGGTACCGGGAACCGAACTCATGACCTTGCGCTTGCCAGGCAGGCGCTTTTTGCCCCTGAGCTAAATCCCCAGCCCCCATGAAGTTTTTATTACGGGTTAGAAATTGCTACCTTAGCCAGGCATGGTGGCACACACCTGTAATCCCAGCACTCAGGCAGCTGAGGCAAGAGGATCACTGTGAGTTTGTGGCCAGCCGGGGGTGCATAAGTGAGTTCAAGGCCAGCCGCACTACATAGTAAGCCCCTGTCTCAAAAAAAGAAAGAGAGAGAGAAAGAAAGAAAAAGAGAGAAAGAAAAGAAATTGCTACCTTTCCTATGAAACTTCACAATTTAACTGTTATTCTAAAACCCACATTTCCTATGCCTGACCTCTTACATAAGCGTAATACAAATTTAGAGCAAGAGCTTAGTGTTGGGGTAATGCTGCTGACTAACCCGCAGGTCTGCTTTGGTTTTCATTAGTTACTCCACTGACATCCTCCCTCCCGAGTGCCCACAACACGTTAGCTGTCGCGTCTCCTTTTGTCTCCTATAATGTGACAATTCCTTGGTCTTTCCTTGTCTTTATAACTTTGAAACCTTTACAGTTATGGGCAGTTATTTTGTAGAACATTCCTCGGTTTGGCTTTGTCCGTTTTCTTATGATCAGATCGAAGTTCGGCATTTTTGCAAGAATACCACAAAGACAGCCGGGTATAGTGGCACACACCTGTAATCCCATCACACAGCTGCTGAGGCAGGAGGGTCACTGGGAGTTCAGGGTTACCCTGGGCCACATGGTGAGTTCAAGGCCACCTGAGCTACAAAGTGAGACCTTGTCTCAAAAAAAAAACCAAAAAACCCTCAGAGAGGCGATGTGCGTTTCTCGAGTGCATCACACCAGCACACATGCTGCTTACCGCAGTCGTTAATGGCGCTAGCCTTCATCTCTTGTCTGAGGTGGCACTTGCTGGTATTTACACTGGAAAGTTACTGCTTTTCCTCTCATAACTAGTAAATATCATGGGGGAGATATTTTGAGAGTATGCCAACAGTATTTTTCATCAAAATAACTCACTAAGTTTAGCGTTCATTGGTTCATCTAGTGTTTAGCAGATACTATTCTTGTATTCCATATTATTGAAATTCTTCCTGAGATACAAAGTTATTATTTCTGTCATGTTGATATATTTATTCTTTTTTTTTTTTTTTTTTTTTTTGAGACAAGGTCTTGCTGTTTAGCCCACTATAGCCTTGAACTCACTGTGTAGCCCAGGCTGGGCTTAAACTCATAGCCATCCTCCTGCCTCAGCCTCCTGAGTGCTGGGGTTACAAGTATGTACCACCATAACCTGGCTATTCAATTTTTATGTTAGTTTGGACTCATGAGTATTTATCTACTGGGCTATGATCCAGTACTGTCAGAGTATGGAAATACTTAGAACATTACAGAAATTACAGCTCCGAACCACCAGTATCGTTAAAGGTAGCAAGTTTGTAAAAAGAGCTACAAAGAAAGCATATCTTTCTAAAACTAGAAATAGGTACTTGTTAAACACAGGGCTGTAATTAAAAGTCATTATAAGCACTCTGTTTTGTTCAGGCTTGATTGCAGGAAGACTGGATTTTAAGAGTTGTTGACTCCTCCATACCAGAAGTAAAAGTGTGGAAATTATCTTTTAATTTCAGAACTGATAGCATTATTTTAATGTTATTTAAGAAAATACATTAAAAACTCTTTGATATTTTAAGTAACACAGTACTTTCAATCCAACAGGATTATCCTCAAGGAAAGTGCTATTGAATACCAGTGGTCTGTACTATAATATAGAGCTACTGAACTTTGGACAGGTAATCCTCCTGACTGCCCCAGAAAGGACTTGATTTAATATTACTGTTTAGTTAAACAAACAAATAAGCTTGTTTTGTTTTGTTTTTGTGGTCAAACTCTGTTAGATATACCAAGCTTTTAAACTCAACGTGGTAAGCAAGTGCTCAGGAGCCAAAGGTAAATGTATTTTCTGAAAAATATAAAGTGTGTTCACAGTGCAGCTTAAATATTCACATCTTAAAAATATTACATATCTTCATATCTTAATATAGTAGTAATTCAGATTTAGCTGTTTAATTTTTTCCAGTTTCTTAGTACTACCCCTGTACTTTAGTGGCTTTGTAAGTGTAACTGAATCATGATTAGAAATTCTCCATGATTCCTTACCATGCACTGCAGCTCCTACTGAGTTTTATGCAGTGGGCAGGGGTAGAGTTAGGTGGTCTAGTAGTTCGTGTATACGTCAGGTAACATGGTACATAATGCATCTTTTCCTTTGTTTCCACAGAAGAAATAACAAGTATCTATAAACTTCATATCCCCTGGTCTTATGAAGATTCACTAACTATTGCGCAGTAAGTATGTGAAAAACTTACTTTAAACTTCAGTATTGTTTAGTAAAATAGATCCTCTGCCTAGGTTACGTATTAGTCAGGGTTATTTGCTGTGACCAAATACCCAAGAAAGTCAGCTTAGAAGAGGAAGGATGTATTTTGGCTCACAGTTTGAGAGGATTTAGTTCCTGATCTGCTGACGCCAAGGCAGGTCATAGTGGAAGGGTCTGCCGAAGGAGAGTGGCTCACCTCCTAGCAGCCGGAAAGGAGAGGGAGGTGGAAAGAACCAGAGAAGAGGGCCGGGTTAGGTTACATTCTCCAGGGTCATCAGCTTTAACCAGGTCCCCCCTGCGGTTTGCATCCCCTCCCAGTAACACCATCAAATGACAGCCCCTTGGGTGAGTGACACATGAGGGCAGTCATTCCCAAAGCCCATCGGCCAGCACGCCTTCAGCACAGGGAGCTTTTGCGGAACATACCACGTCCAGCCCCATAACACCTTATTTATCTAAGGTGTGTGACTAGTTACAGTGCCTCTTAGTAAAATACGAATACCCTTTATGTAGCACTGTGCCCGTAAGTGAAGATGCATGTAGTATTCGTACTACATTTTACAGAACGTAACCTCACTTGCTTGAAACATGAACACCTTGCCACTCTAGCCCAACTCCCCGGTCCTAGAGAGGGAGCATTCAGGCCCTTGCAGTGTGACTGGAAAATGTCACCGTAGTAAGAGGTTTGGCGTGCGGCTTCTCTGCAGTCGCCATGGTGTCATGCGGGGTGTTGCCTTCTCCAGGCCTGTTCACCAGCATTTTATACCTGAGAATTGACACTTAGGTTGTCTCTTCAGGGTTCCATCTTCTACAGAAATTTCTGTGAAACTTCATATTGCTCAGCCAGAAAATGACAGCCATGTGGCGTTACTAAAAATGTACACGTCGTCAGACTGTCAGTATGAGGTAAGTTGTATGTTTGCATAATCTTCAAGCAAGATTTGTGGAATAAAGTAGAAGCATTTTTATATTAGCTGCAGATACATGGTGATGTCAAAGCCCATAAATGTCAGAAATAAACATTTAAAATATTTTAAATATTCTCCGCTTTGTCTGTTTTCACTGCATCAGTATTTCTTTAGCTGGATCATTTCAAATTGTATACATCTTGTAAGTAATAGAAAATAAAACAAAGGTGAAACTGCACGTTAGCTGTCTAAATTTGGAAGCCAAAGGTCCAGTGTCTTTTATACATTAAAGAACTTCATGAAATCAGCTGACTGGCATTACTGACAGTAATTGGCCCGGTGCTTATTGGTTGATATCACCACTGAGTAAGCAGAAGGATCTTGTTTTCTTTCTTCTCATCCTTTAAGCTGTTAGTCATTAACGTGTGCCATTTAGTGCCCATTGTATTGTTTTATAATCAAGGTAGATCTCTTTCTCCTAAGTGAAAGGACATACGATTGAGGGTCATATTTTATTTCCTTACGGATTCATGAACTGAGTCTTTACCTGCGTTCCAACATGCCGGATTCCAAAGATTCCACATGTAGGTGGTGAAAGTGTACATTTCAGTGGGAGTGACATCTCCGACTTTCGGTTTATGTGAAATATTTCTGCTTAACTGCTTTAAATAAAACTTTCATATTTGATTCTTTATTAGAATTAACTTTCTTAGGGTTAATAGATCCTGTTCTTCAACTAAGTTTTTGTTGGGCCTACATTATGAATTAATTTGTATTTCATGATATTTATGAATGCTTTGATATTTTTAACTATTTCCAACAGTGAAGGGTCTTGCAGAACTATAATGGTTTTTAATTTGTACCTTCATATTTCTAATAATAAGATACTTTACAATAGTAAGAACACAGAGTTGTCAGTTTGGATCCAAATATTTTATGTTCTCAAAGGGTTCATTTTTTCCCCAACACTGCATATTTTCCAGAAGTCCATATTTAGATAGAGCACAGGCATTTTACAACTTCCTTAAGAAAGATTTCTCCCCTTTCCTTAGACTTCCTAATATTAAAAACAAAGGTGTGTGCATGTTAGAGATAATTAAGGCTGAGTTTCTTTTTGAAATATTATCCTGGCCTTAATTCTGTTAACCACCAGGATCTGTTGATAACATATTCTGCTCATATAATCAGGTGAATAAAGAATTACCACACATACCATAACATTGTTGTAATTGTTGAAGATTTAGAATACTGGAAAATATACTAAATGGTAAAACTATTATTTACACAATTTAAATGGTAGTTCAGACAGTTCTTTAAACTCTTTCATGTCCCAGGTCTGTGTTATAAAAACTTACACTTAGAGATGTGCAGAATTGTGCAGTTTAGTAGAGCGTGAACCAGAGTGTAAGGAAGTAACGTTTTCTTTTTAATAATTGCTTTAAACTAGGTGACGGTGAAGACCTCCTTCTCGCAGATTCTGGGACAGGTAAGGCTTCCTGCTGTCCTTATTGCCCTGTGCGTCACTGCTGGATGGAGGCCTGTGGCCTTCTGCTGTGCATCACAAAAGCACCCGACCACATGCAGCCTGTGGCTGCTGCCACGCCCCCACTGCTTGTTTCTTTCTTCTCACTCTTCTTTTTTTTTTGGCTTTTTTCTGGTAGCGGGAATCAGACTCACGACCTTGTGCTTGCCAGGCAGGCGCTATGCTGCTGAGCTAAATCCCCAGCCCCCCTTTCTTCTCACTCTTCTCCCACTTTAATAAAATCTGAGAACCATCACTGGCCCCCAAGTTGGTGAAGTCACTTTTTCGTGTTTGGTACATCCCAGGAAGGAGAGCTGATACCTGGTTCTCAAGCACTGTAATGTTTGCCTAAGCGAGTATCATACAAGACCTGCATGTTATTGTACCACACTGTCGTCCATAGCACAATAAACCTGCAGGCAGACCACAGGTTTATATTGTGCATCTCAGTTTGTAAAAGCTAAAGATAAATTTTATTATAAAGAATATGTTGAAATTCATTTGCAAGTGACATTTCAAAAGTAATTTATCAAGTAGTGAAACCATGGATATTACTATTCAGATCATAACTGGCAGGATTGTTTAATCTGGACTTAAATAATGACTAGAAAGGAAAATTATATAATTTTAAAATTCAGTAAAATATTTATCATAGCTTTTATTTGGTTGTAGTTTGCAATCCAGGCATAGAATTTTTTTTTTCCCTATAGTATAAGTCAAATTCATAAACAAATTAAAAAAACATTTTTATATGCATTATCTCATTTCATCCTTATAGCCACCTGATGAGAAATAGATTTGATTATTTGTGAACATGGCAAAATTCTAAGTTAAAGTATAACAATTTTGAAGGAAAAACAACATAACAAATTATGAAAAGAAGATTCAATGTTAGTATATGTAAGTTAGAGAACAGCATTGTGGGTATGTTGCAGTCTAAAATGTTAAAGACCAATTATTAAGAAAAGTTATCTTTTATAGAGGGGAAGAATTCATGCTGTTGTATTTTTAGCACTTTGAAACGGCATGTTCCTGTCCTACACATGGGGGAGAGTGAAGACACAGCACGCCCTCTTACCTCTATCATCCCTGCAATCCATGGCTCAGATTACTGACAAGAAAAGTCAAGTTAGCTTGTGATGCTATAGTCAAGTGTAATTGTATAGCAGAAGGCAGACTGATACTGGTTTTGGCAGGTGTTTTGTTTTGTTGCTTTGTGTTTAGAGACAGGGTTTCACTGTGTAGTTTCCACAGACCTTGAACTCTCTATGTAGTGCAGGTTGATCTTGAACTTGCAGGGATCCTCCTGCCTCAGCCTCCCGAGTGCTGGGAGTATAGACCTGTGCCACCACCCCCAGCAGACTAATGTTATTTAGATGTGGAAATCTTTCTAAAGAGTAAAGGTGTGCTAGTCTTACAGGGTGAGGAGTGGGTACTTTTTAAAATGTTAAATGAAAAGCTTGTAATAAAGTCCTAAAATTTTTGAAAAATATACTGTTCCTTCTTGCATAGTTTGTGGATGGCATGAGAATGACTTCAAATAGTATAATGTATCTTACTCAGTTTTTTGAAAAATAAGAACTTGGAATGTTGTTTGACGTGGTCGCAGAAAACTGGGAAAGTGATAAAAAGGAAACTACCGAGAGCTTTCACCTTTAGGTAGATATTTTCATAAAATTAATTATGAGAGGATAAAAAGTAAACTGAACATTGCTTTCTCCTAAAAATTCCATAAGCTGCTGTAAATCATTTCAGTGGAGGAAAGGAGCCTGATGTTGTTTGATCTTTAGGTTTTAAGAGACCAAACAGGGTTTTTAGGTGAAATTTTGTAATTTTCCAGCTCTGGGCTGTAATTCCAAGTGTAAGTAGTGCTGCGTCAGAGGAGGTGTGGTAGGCGTGGTCCCAGTTTGGCTGCGACCGAAAAGGCCAACTCCTGCTGCCAGCTTCATTGTACCAAATAGACCCAGCTGTATCGGTGCCCCAGCGCAGCACCTGACACCATAGTGCCCTTTGCCGTAAAAGAAATCCTACCCTTGGGAGGCTCAGTGCGGCCTTCTTAGGCATCTGAAGACAGCGGAGGGTGTTGATGTTGAATAATAACAGCTGCCCTCCTCAGTCACTTAACCCTGTTAGTTACTATGCCAGATGCTTCACCCATGGAAACCTCACACCCCGAAAGGCTGCTTTCCTCGCTCTTACTGACGAGGGTGCAGAAAGAGGGGTGACGTGACCAGGACCCAGAGCTAGGTAGAGGCAGAGAGGAGTCCGGCCCCAGAGCCTGCAGGCTGCTTACCTGTCCCCTCCACTCTTGATAACTAAAGGAAGTGGGCTGTGGGTTTCTGAGTACGTCCTGAGTAAGCAGTGAGTGCCGCTTAGTACATAATAGGTAGAAATTGCCCTTTTGCCTTGTGCTCCGCTTTCTCTCCTACCTAGAGTTTATACACTATAAATTACGAGTATACACTCTAAGTTTTTCCTACTCTTTTTCAACCTGGAGGTCCGTGGAGGGACTTCGTACAATCCTGTGCAACGCTTTGGGCTAGCGTACACCTGTGCGCATTTCATCCGGCTCACAGCAGTCTGTACACGTTCCCAGAAGTTCCGTGGAAGGGACAACACGCTTTCGAGCCAGTACTTCTTAAAGTTAACGCTTCGTTTTTATTTTACACACGTTTATGCAAATTGGGTCAGCTGACAGAGCGACTCCCTGTGACGTGGTGGTGAGCTGAGACTCAGTTTGATAGCATTTCCAAGGGAGCAGGACCTAAAGGTTAATAGTTGCAGTGAATGTTTTCTGGTAGCTCGTCATGTAAGAGTTAATATTTTAAACGCTTTGTAATGAGCTTATTTAAACTTCACAGCCATCTGTAAATACTGTTCTCCTCTTTTATGGAAAAGCATGTGGAGAGATGGTGGGAGGTAACTCGCCGTTGCTTTTGGAATTGTTCGGGGTGCTTGGGCTTCGGCACCTGGGTTTCTTCACCTGTACATGGGCGTAGGAACTGCCTTGATGGGTGTGTGGAGGAAAGCATGAGATAATGCATATATGATGTTTAGTGTGCTGCCTGGAACATGGGAAGCAGGCCATAAACGTACTTTGAAGAACAGTGTTCTAGCATATGCTACTCAGTTATGAGTTATGCCTTTGATGAAAAATTTAGGTGTGTTTCTACCAGGCTCTAAAAGTATTTTACTTAGAGCTTTTGGTACTCATTAGTGGAAATCTGTAGCCATGTCAGGAAGAGCGTGAAGAATAAATCTTGTTCCGTGTGAAAGTACATTTGTTTTATTGACGTGAATATTCAGGAGTTTTCCATTGCTCTGCCTGCGTCCCAGGTAGTTAGATTCCATGGAGGCGCACTTCCTGCTTACGTCATATCCAGTGCTCTTCTTGCCCATGGAGGACAGCTGTTCTCTCTTTTCTCAACAGGTAAGAATGCTTATTGTTTTAAGTTACTTTCGTTGCAAATTTTAAAATAGAACAGCTGCTGGATAAATAGAACAACTGTTGATTCCTTGTGTACATTTAATTCCATTATTAAGACTAGTACGAGAGTTTTTAGAAACAACCACATAGTAGTGTCCTTGGCAATTCCAGAATAGCATGTGAGGGCCCGGGGGGTTAGCTCAGCATCTGCTTGGCAAGTGTGAGGTCCTCAGTTTGATTCCTGGTGTCCCCTCCCCAAAAAAGCGTGGCGTACAGAAGAGCAGGTGATTTTATGACCAGTATTTCAGGTGCTTTTTACTTTTCTGCTTGCACCTACCAATCCCAAAGTAGTTTTGGCAGTTAGTCCAGAGAGCTCCAGTTTGTGGGCCTGAGACCTACAAATTACCAATGTTCTCCTAGCTTTGAACTCACTTACATTGGGTGTCATTTTTTTAATGGAAAACACTTTATTTTTAGTCTAAACAAATTGTTCATTTTTAAAAAAACATATAGGAATCAAATAGTGTAATCTTCACACTATAATTATTTTCAGTATGTTTTAAAAGGACAAACACAATACGCATTTAAAAATTAATAACCCCTTAATAGGACCAAATGACTAAAATTTTTTAAAGTTTCCAAATAAGATCTATACATTGCAGCTTGTCATTAAATTTAATTATTAAGTTTCTTAAGCTGTAGTTTCCATCCTCCATCTCTTTTTTCCTCCTTATAAATTGACTGGACAGAACTGTTCAATGTGACCATATTTCACGTTTGGATTTTGCTGATTACACCTTCATGGTGTGATTAGACAGAATCTTTTTTTATATGTAAGTTAGTGTGTGTTTCCAGCACATAACGGTAATGTTTGTTTGGGAGAATTAGTACCTGCATATAACATGTCTTGATCATTCTCCAGTCCTTACCCCCCCGCCCCAGACGTCTTTTATCGTCTGTTTTTTATGAATTGGTGAATAGAGCTATAGGCTTGATGGGATTTAGATTCTCTTTCCGCAAACCTCTGCCTTGCAGGACTATTCCAGTGTTGTAAATGTCTTCCTGTTAGTAGGAGACACTCCCTCCTAATCTCCCCCCTCGACATCTACTTTGTTCCCTGTCCTCCCTCTTCCTCCTTCCTTGCCTCCCCCCGCTTTCCTCCTCTTCTCTCCCTCATCCTCACTCCTCCCCTCCTTCTCTCTTTCCCTTCTCGTTCCAGTGGGTCACTGCTTCCTAAGTATTTTCCAACCTACGTGTAGCTAAAGAGGAGAAACTGTAGAACTGTAGGCTTTAACTGGATGAATTATATGGCATGAAAATTATATTTCAAATAAAGCTATTTTGAAAAGTTACTTGTGGAGCTTTATGGATACACATAATGAAACCCTAGCTTTGACTTACTGAATTTGCTGCTGAATGTACACTCTTCTGTGAGAACCATTGAATTCACAGTAATTTTTAATCTTTCAAGAAGAGTCGATGGTAGTAGTGAGGACCCTTTGCTTTCTCTGACATAAAACATAAACATGTTGCTCTTGTAGACAACAAAAGGTACAGCTCATACTTAATTACTGTGAATTCTCTGTTGCATGTAATTTTTTTTAATTACCAGGTTATTGTTTAGAATATGCTGCCATATTGGATAAAGAAGCCAAGCCATACAAAGTTGATCCTTTTGTAATTATGATTAAGTTTTTATTGGGGTAAGTTTTGTTTTATTATCTGATGATGATTTTAATTTTATGTATGAAACATTGTTTGATTCCAATAAATTTGGCAGGTGACTTTTTCATTAAATGGCATTTTTCTTTTAGGAAAAGACTTACTCAAAATATATCAACATTTATTTCAATAGTATAGTCATTTCAAGATGATGATTGAACATCTGTATCAGTCTAAGCCTAGACTAACAGCACTGCGGTGTTTGCCGATGATTCGAGAATGTCCCGGATAGACAAACACAAACCATCGCAGAGTTGGGTGAAACGGAGCCTCTGCTCACTTTCCCCTCCTTCCCACAGAAAGTGTACTTGAAACTTCTCTACCTCAGGCAACATCCCACTCTTAATCTATTCAAGTTTTGTGGGTTTTGTTAAGAACCAGTACTTAAATGTCTCATTCTTTCATTACAACTAGCTGTTGGCTTTCTAACACTGAAAAAAGTTCATTACTTCATACAGGGACAAATACAGAGCAGTGGGAGACTTAGGAGTTAAACACCTGGAGATCAGTAGGCTTACTTGGAAGATAAATGGGTCGTTTCATATAAGGTTTGTTTTCAGTATAAATTGTAGGTTAAATATCACAGGACTGTAAGGACTAGTAAATGGTCCAAGACTGCAAATGCGAAGTCTTTGGATGTCAGTTTGCTGGGCGTTTGCTTTTGCTTTGCTCCATTGGCTTTCATTTTGCTTTCTTTTGCCCACAGGTGTAAATGGTTTAAGGAGTTCTGGGACTTACTGTTGTTACCAGAATTAGATGCCATCGTTTTAACGAGTCAGAGTATGTGTTTCCCCCTTGTGTCCTTGATTCTCTTTCTGTTTGGAACATGCACTGCCTACTGGAGTGGCCTGCTCTCGTGTGCATCCGTGAGACTCCTTTCTTCCTTGTGGCTGGCTTTGAAAAGGTAAAGGGAGTGACAGAAAGCTCTCATATGGCGCTTAGGAAAACAATTGCATTCTTGTTTTCACTTACCTGTTTTCCAAGGATGTATGGCTGGCAGAGCCCGTGGTCATATCTTATCAAAACTTATCATATATTGCAATTTAAATGCTACCTATGGCTTTGACCTTCATGTCCAAGAGTTCATCAGAAAAGCTTGACACATTTCACGGTAGTAAATCTTTGTCAGGAGGGATTGTTTCACAGGCTGACTTCCCCAGTGAAGCCTGCCCGCAGAAGACTGCGGTCAGTTTAGTCCACATCTGATGAGATGCGGTGCGGAGAAGCCCTGAGCTCACCGCCTAGAGTTGCACTGCACACCAGAGACACCGTGTCCGAGCTGCTAGGCGGCTTTCGAGGCCGAACACCGGTCTAGTTTCACTACACCCTGCCATAGCAGATGTGGTGTGCGGTTTATTTCCTAGAGGGGTAACCTTGGGAACTTCTTCCCTGTCCTTTGAGGTGCTTCTGACAGCTTTCTAGCAGTAACCCTGTCAAGCACCTGAGTGGTCTGAAGGCTTTGAAAAATGGGAAATTCTGGCTGGTGTGGTGGCACATGTCTATAATCCCAGCACTTGGGAGGCTGAGGCAGGAGGATCACCATGAGTTCAAGGCCAGCCTGAACTACATAGTGAGATCCTGTATCCAAAAAAAACAAAAAAAGGAAAATTCTTCTTCCTGTCAAGATTGGAAATGTATGGCACAGGGTCTAAGATTACTGGTGACCTTTGGCAACAGTTTTCTTCCTTGCTGCCAATATCAGCCATAATATTGGCTATAAGAGAACAGAAGAGGAGCTCTTCCATTTTATTATAGTCCTTAAAATCAAGTGTGCATGGCCATTTGCCACTACTAAAAAATACCTTACTGCTCAGGATTTTACATACTAACAAGCAAGAGAGACTGGCAGGGAACTTGAGAGTCAGTAGCTCTTACCTGAAAAGCTTGGGACTGTGGGTGCTTTTGAGACTGCAGGTGTTTTTAGAAATTGAAATCTATGCATGTACATATAAGCCTATTCAAATACACTTGTTGGATGGGAAACAGTTCCAGACACAGAATCGCTTATGCTCCCTGTGCCTCACCCACACTTGTGAAGAGTTTCTTTCAACGGTTTCAGTGCGTCTGCGTTTGGCTGTGACCCGCACGTGAGGTCGGGACACAGTTTCCCACGTGTAACATTTTGTTGGTGCTTTAAATGTTGTGAATTCTGGAACATTTTCAAATTTGGATTTTGGCTTAGTGATGCTCAGCCTATACCTTGTCATTGTCTTATGTGGACTGTATCAATGTATCTGTTGACTGTCTTTTTTAAAGCTATATTCTTTTTATTCCAGACCCTCTGAACTTCCGAAAGATGTTAAGATCCTGTCGCCAGATCTGCCCTTCCTGACGGGCGTTCTGCTCCTCGTTAGCTGGACCACCTGTGGCGCCCTTGCCATACTGCTTTCCTATTTCTACTATCTGTGCAAGGTATGGGGTGAGGACAGAAAGCGAGGGACGGTGCTCAGAGGCGTGTAGACAGAACGCTTCATCCCTGCCAGAGTCATGCTTTGTTACGTAGCACATTCAATAAAAGGTTTTTTAAAAATATCTTAGTTATTTAAATTATATACAGTTATTATAGAATTGAAATTAATGATTTGAATTGTTTCTTTTTTTTTTAAAGTGAAAAAGCACAGGGTATGGTGGCACATGCCTGTAATCCCAGCACTGGGGAGGCTGAGGCAGGAGGATCATTGCAAGTTCAAGACCAGCCTGGGCTACAAAGTGAGCTCAAGGCCAGTCTGAACGGCACAGCAAGACCCTGTCCCAAAAAGACAAAAAAATTTCAAAGATAAAAAAGGAACAAGTTATAATCTGTTTTAGATTGCATCTTACTCTTGCAAATATTAACGTTTTTAACATTTTGTTAGAATAGTTTCATTCCTGCCTCTCTGTGAACATAGATGAGTGAAAACAAAAAGTTATGTTAGGATCAAGTTACCAGTCATACTCAGATAACATAAAATACTTGTCAGTGTTGTGAGGAATCAGAAGACAATGATAATTATTAGGCTGTTAATTTTACTACAGCAAAAGACTCTCCCAGCGAGGCTGGCCGCTTTGCAGGGAAGTCTGGGCGGTTACAGCAGTAGTCTGTGGGCCGATGGCTGGCATCACAGCGGATAATTACGGTTCCTTCTTTTTTAATTTTAAAAGTGAAAGAACAAAAACATTAACAGACAGCCATTTATAAAGTAGCACAAGAACAGTACAAGCAATACTGAATTACAGACAAGGTGACAGGGAATTGACAGTGGTTGTTGTGTTACATATTGATAACTTCAAAGTGGTTACTCAGGAAAACAAAGACAGGCAAGATTGATCAAATTAATTAATCATTAACT